AAAGAAAAATGGAAAAAATCACATTATCAACAAGTAGAAGCTGGTTATTTTGTAAATGGAATAATCTCACATCTGCAGCATGCTGAAGTCTTGTTGAAGCCTCATCAAGTTTTCTTTTTTCTCTCTCAATGACTCTTACTTTATCTTTCATACTCATCATTCTTGCAACTAAATAAAGTTGCAGACGGTTTCCCTTCAACTTGGCCCATGTCAAAGTGTAGCGTAATTGAGTTAGTTGAGTAAATTCATTGGCGGCTGCAGCTAAAAGACTACTGCATTTTTATGTCTACTCTCTAAAGTACACAAACTTACTTCATACTCTGCACGCGACTTGAAAGCATTTATAGCGTACTTACTAACAGTTGTACCCTGTTATGTAACCATATGGTTTCTATTGCTAATAACAAGTATCGTTCACCAACTAAGTCTGATTCCAACGACTGTACCAATGTATGAATACTAATTTACTCTTATTATACTAAGTAATAAATTTTTATAAAAGCCTACTTTAATTAAATTATTTCATTAATAAAAGATCGAGTAAACAAATGTTAAAGGTTAGTATTTGAATGCTTCATGAAATTTCTTCAATGTCCATTTTATCATTTTATATAATGTGTTGAATGTTTCCGTGCATAGCTACTGTTGAAATTTAGCCAACCTAATAAAATATTAAGCATTCAGAGTAGCTAATGAATAAAAGTAAACATTCAATTATTTATTTCTATAGCTAAAGTGTTTTTAAAAATAAATTTAAATGATATAAAAAATCTAGCTCCAAGTAATTCATATGATGTAGGTAAACTAATGGCCGAGACCATTATTTGGTTTGCGGGATGCAATATCGGAGAACGTGAACGCACAATTGTTCAACCGCGTTGCAGTACACATCATAGGTACAGGACATCATAGGTCAGGCGCTATTACGCATACGAGCATGAAACATTCGACGATTAAACGGTAATTCGAAGCGCGTGACGTAGAATAGTTGAAACGGTTTGTGCTTTCGTGGAGTTGGTTATAAAAGTGAAGAGACACAATCAACTAGCATCACACAAAGAGCTGAAGCTAGAGAGAATATGAGAGAGAGCAAAAGACACCAAGTTGGATAAGCGTTCGGAAACTCATGTTCAACATCAGCTTCACACTGATGTAGCTAGACAGTACCATTGCTTACCCATGACGATTTAACGAACTCATCCGGCTGTAAATGTAACGATAGTGTCCAGTCCATCCAGATCATTGATTCTTACACCAACCACCATTACAGTTATGTCTATTATACTGTTCTCAATTCAATTCATCCACGGAAATGGTTGGATAAAAAATTCTCATTTCTTATATCAATTGAATTTCTCAGTATTATTTATTTTATTATGTTCAAAGATGTGAACTAAATCTTGAAATATTAAACAAAGCTTGCTGAATGAATTGAATTGAATAGAAAAATATGGACAGCTTTAATCTACTCATTTAAGTCGAGACGTAAAGAAAAAATTGAGTATCATTATATAAGATGAAATCTAAGAACATTATCTCTTAGAGTTAAGCAAATGGTAGTTCTTATTCTGTTGTCACGATTGGAGATATTCTTTTACTACACATTAGAACATTTAATGACTCATGAAATATTTTATGATAAAACAGTAGATGAATAATCTTAAAATCGTGGAATGGAGTAAACAAGCCAATAGCTGAATATCTAAGTCATTCCTAATTTTTTAATTGTACATCTAAAAGTTTTATTCTAGAGGAAACGATAACATCTTTATTATCATTGATGACTGTAATAGAAAGTTAATTTATTAATAACTTGATATATTCATTTTCAACTTTAACTTTTCATAATAAAAATTTTAATTGATTATCAATACCATCATGGTTCCAGCTTTATGTTCATCACCTAAAAAAGTTCTACATCTAGTATCCAGTTGATTTCATGTCTCTGTATGACTTTACTTCTGATCCAAATGATTGTAAACCTGTTAGTCAGGCCATAAATATTTAATTTATTATTGTTTCATAGCAATTTTTATTAACAGATGTAAGATTTAAGTATGAGCTATAAAATGATCCAACTGTTTCATAAAGTGAAGATATGGTACACCCATTCGATTTGGTATTTAATATGGGCTTGTTGTTTTCTTCTTTATGTCGTAGCAAAGTTTTCACATTTATCCCAACTCATCCAAGTCATTGGATTGTATCAACCTGATGTTTCCAGCGTCGATTGCGCGTAAAGCAAAGGCAATAAAATGGAAAAGACATACTATATCTTAAAGTTTTATGAGAAATTATTTGAAAGCACAAATTCTTAAAACTGCAAATCTCTTTTAAGAAATTTTAACCACTATTACAACAAAAATATTCTAACTTTAACAATCAACTTTAATGCTTCTACTTCAATTCTTTGATGTGATAAGTAAGCTTAAATCAATGATAACATTGGTATTGATGATTGGTCCAATTAATTATATTGAAGAATCTTAAAAAATAAATTAATGTGATTGAAAATATCTAATTTTATCATTATATTATACTGTAATTAAATGGAATAATAAATTCCAGACTAATGATGATAATCATACAATTCTCAGCCAATGGCTTTTTGAATGACATATCATTCACTCACATATAGCATATATTATTCAGATTCACTGAGCAAGAATAAACTGGTACTGGGTGAGAGATAAGCGAACATTGGCATAAATACTACTTGTTAATTATATATAAACAACTCTTGAATTTATAAATCAATAAACTTGTTAGCTTCATCATTTTATAGTTATCACTTATATACCATTACCATCACCGTTTAGATTTTGTATTCCGTTTTAGCTATCACTGAACAAAGTCTAACAGCATTTTTAAATTTTCCTTTGATTATTATTCTTCTCACTTTCATTTTCATAATAAATATTTTGTTTTCTTCAATTACTAATTGAGTTAAATATCTATTTAAAAATTTTTTACCATTATTCAATCATTCCAACAATAAAAAAAATATCTCCATTAAACTGACTTTCATCTGAATGATGAATATTTCTTACAATATATTGAAAACCTACAAAAAACAATAACGAAAAATTCTACATGACATTTTGTAAGCATTATCAATCTTTTTCATGCCATGATAAGAACACAGGTGAAACGAGACTTATTATAAGAAGTCAAGAAACCTTTTTCTCCATGTACACACAGTCATAAGGATTGAAGGAAAATAAAGGTATAAAATTAAAAAGGAAAAAAAAGGTACACACATATGTGCTCGAATGAAAAGGTAAAAAAGAAGGAGAAGAAGAACAGGAAGAATGAAGATAAAATTCACCAGTAAAATGGAGAGAAAAAAATAATAATTGTTATAATGACAATGGATACTCTTTTTCAAGTTTATATAAAGAAGTAAGTAGTAAAGTTGGGGATGCGATAATACTGCCTGGCATGAAAAGACGAAAGACAGAAGAAACAGAATAGGCGGAGATTTTTTTTAATAACAAAGGAGAGCAAAATCCGTAGTCGTTTCTTTGGCCACACAGCTATACCAAGAACGATTATATAGTTACCACGTTCTTTGGACACATTTACTGAAACGTTTTCAGATATACCAGTGCACCCTAATGCTCTCACAAACCAAGTAAAGAACTAGCCATAACACGTGATGTTGTCGTTTTTCTCCAATGGCTATTTATATACTTCCATTTCACTAGTCCATTTTGAGTTTCTTCAACGACTTATAACATTACATTTGATACTACTCTTATCGATATGCATCATTACATATATAAATCCCTTGTATGTATATATATATGCACTCATTTATCAGAGAAAAGCAGGTATTACAAACATCAATCTCATTCCAAAGAGCTTTGAAGCTTATCTGATTTTAGATTAGAATAAATTTGCTGCTGTTAAATAGAATGTAGTATTTAACGAACATCGAATTATAACTGTTTTAGCCATTATTGAATGTAGTTTAGCAATGACAATGTTAATTAAACATAACACTTGTTACATCAGGAACAATAAAAACTGGCTATTAATTTATTACCCACAAGAGATCTGTCAATGATCAATAACATGGTCTCTTGAGGATAATTTCAGATAGAAATGATCAAAAAGTTATTTTAGAACTAGCTTTTAATCATATGGATTAAAATCATTAAGTAATTCTACATTATTATCAAGCTCTTTTTAGAAATGTCTCAGCAAAGCTAATCACTGAATAAAATTGCTGCTCCAAAAGACAGATCTGTTTTTAAAGTTGGAAAAAACTGAAATGTTAATGATTCGAATCATTTAGAGCTTTTAGGAAGAAAGGCCATTTCAGTTAGAAAGGATGAATGTTTCTTGCTATTGAAGCTGAACTCAGGATTAATATAAAAACAGATAAGTATCAAGTAAACATTTTTCCATCTTCTACTTTTTTAATAAAACATCATTATCTTTGATATACTTTCATGCTGAATTTTCACAGCATAATTTTATTTATCAAGCATGATGAGATGTTGGAGATAAAATGTGCTATTTAATATAAAAATTAGGTTTTAATCATTATTGTTGATACTAAGTTAATTTTATGTTTCACAATACCAGTTAAATATCAAAAGAAAGACTTATATGACCTATTATTGACTTTTTTTTTCTACTATTGCTTTTTATTGGACATCGTGTATCAGTTGATTCATTTTGATCTCCAAAAGGTCAATAGCAACCGTACGATGTGTTATAGTTTTTTCAACAATCACCAATGTTTATGCTATTCATCAACAAATTATTCTCAAACAATTTTGATAATTGGATCTGTTTTTAATTTAATAAGCAATGAATAATAAACAGGTATTGTTGATGATATGAAAGGGGGATTAATATCTCAGAGAGAAATTAGTTGGAATACTTGGCAGTAAACCTAAATGTTCTAAGTGGTCATGCCAAAAACTTGAAGACGTAAACAATCGGTGTGACATAGAACTACAGATGTTGAAAGTAGTAAGTGAACTTACGCGTCGCGCCGGATGTCTGGAGCAGCAAGAAGATCGAGAGAAGTGCGCCCACGAGGGTTGTGGTCAGGAAGAACGAGCTTGAGCCGCACCCCATCACGGCATCACTACTAACTTCCACCGTTTTGGAGTAGTTTCTCCGTTCCACTGATTGTGAACTGACCAGCCTCCTCACACCCACTTTCCAGTTATAATGACTAATTAATAATACCTCTAGTGCCCACAACTTTACAACTATGATAATTATTCACCACTTTTTACATTATATATATTTTTTTAATTTTTTGCATTCCTATGGTATCTTTATCTGTACATTTTTCTACTTTTATTTTAGCTATTTTTTTTATATACTACACAAAATTACCACTTTATCTTAATTTGTATAGTTTATATTACTCAGATAACTGTTAAATGTTTATTTTAATTAAACTATTAAACATCATTGTAAACTTAATTTTGAATGAATACAGAAACGTGTTATGTTGATCAGATAGAATAGCAAAAAACAAACAAATTAAACTGACATATTGAGAAGTGACTAGATGATATGAAAGCAGAATTTTAAATAATAATCAACCAAAAAATAAAAAAGCTATAGAACAGAAATATTATAAAAGATTTATGATCCACACGATTTTCCAGCTAGATGAAATGATTCATTCAAAAGTATATAATCTCCAAAATGTTGCGATAAAATCACTGAAAAAAAAGAATATCAACATAAATTGGTTTCATTTAGTTGAAGCAAAAAATCACGTGAATTGTTTTGATGAACACAGTTTAAGTGTTTTGGAATATACCGAAGTGGATAAAATAACAGCTGGGATAAACAAAGTAGTCGCGTCCTGGACCAACGTCGACTTCGAGTCGGCTTTGGCAACTGAATCATCGAGTACTGTTGGACTTTGGAGGACTACTACCAACTACCACTACTACTGCTGTTACCACCACTTTCTTCACCACCACCACCACCATCACTACTACCACCACTATTCTACCCTTGCCTATTACCCTTTGCCTCTTTTCGTCTCTTCACCGCTTGGTCCATAAAATACCCCATTTCATCCCCTTACAGTACAGTCGTACACACGCTGGCACCCCTAGCATCCCTCATGCAGCCTTAGTTCTGCGCACCTACCAAAGTGCTATACCACCAGCCAGAGTACCTACGATTCTCTTTAATATCCAACTCACGGTCACGCGCACTACCTATACACACTTTCATCTGTATGTACTTTGTTGTACGGAAAACATTGTCAGTATGTCAGTAATTATCTCGGGTGTCAAATGCAATGGTTAAAAAATTCCAGAGGTCGAAAAACATAAATCCATTTGTTCATTGTACTAATTGAAAGTCATTCATTAAAATATAATGTTTGTATCACTCTGAATAGACTGTGATATGGTTAAGATATACAATGCATATTGTATCTTACAATGAGATTGTTGGAAGCTTTGACAAATGAGCTTGTTACAACACAGGTCATCATGAGACCCTTGATGTCAATCAAGACAATAAATCCATTCTTTATTTATATTACTCTGTCTCAATCCTACCTCTATTATATTTCTTCCTATTGTTTTTATCAATTTATTGACAATTTTATTAATATTAACCAATTATTTTATAGCTATGATGTATATTAACTGTAGGGATTGAAATTTTTAAATGAAGTTCATTAATTGTTTTCACTTATTTACAGTCAACAGCAGCTGCTTCATTGTATGAAAAAATTTAAAAGCTTCTTTTATAAAGTCGATGAAAGAAGTGGAAGTTGTATAAAAAATTATTAAACAAAATAATTAATGAAAAAAATAATCATTTTATAATAATATAGTCATCAATGAATACTTGAAAATTATGGAAAGTTACGTTCAAGTTTCGCTAGTAATTTTCGAAGGAATTTTAGGTATTTCTATTTAATTATACTAAATTCTCCAAGTTTCAGTGTTTTCTAAAAAATATCAGAAATACTTCCAACTATAATTTAATAGAAAACTGATGATAGATTAAAAATACTCGACTTATTCCCATTTCAATAAGAAAATTTTATCTTTGTCACGTGCTCTCAAACCAGAAATAGTTAAAAAGAAGGATTAATGTTTTAAAAACTGATGGATGAAGTGTAAAAAAATAGCCCTGTCACTTTACTATCAAGAAGTGTAATGAATAACCGCTGAAGGGATATGAAGAGCTGTCAAGAGAATGTAGGTTGAAATCACACGATGAGAAACGAGCATTTGAAATGCCTTGCTCTTGACTTGCCTGAGGCTGAATCTCACTTTTCCTTGTCCCCTTAGACTTTGATGGACCAGTATGCTAGTCTACTCTCTAGTCTCATTTGAGTCCCAAACGAAGAGAATGCGCAGAGCATACTTCCTCGATTATCAGAGTCAGTGTTGTCATGGAAACAGACGCATCATTCTCACTTCTATCTCATGGACATGACCAGTATCATACTGGTTTAATACTATCTCTATCATATACAACTTACCAACTCATTGCTATACTAAATAGACTATTTACATTAGATTAACTGTGACAAATGATGGACCAAATAATTAGAATGTCTACAAATTCAATCATTTAAAAAAAAATTCATCTCTTCTAGCTGTCATAATGTTTTATTGTTCAAACATTGCTACCAAGCTCATCATCGTTAACTTTGATGGATATTGGAGCTTATTAGCATGTTTTGAGAACTAATTTAACCATCATAACTTTCTAACAACTAGCTAATAAAAGCCTCATTCATCAATTTTAATATAATAATAATAATTAATACCAATTCAATAGTTGTTGATAAAATAATTGGATTAAAAGGAAATATAATCTTACCTTTAGTAGAGAAAAACAGGAATGTAGATGAACACTTTTATGAGTTATAAAACTTTTATTCACACGATACCACAACTAAAAAACTCATTTAAATACTAATTAACGGAAAATTAAAACTTTTAAGTATAAATTTAAATACTAAACAAACACTAATTACTTTATTAAACCTTTCGGAGTTTAAAATTTACAACCGGCATCGATACTTTTGTAAACAATAAAACTATCATAAAACATTATTGATTTGAGAAGGAAAAATTAATTTGAGCTATGAGAATGATTGAGTTAAATAGTTAACGATTCCATTATCATATTATTAAATCTATATAAATTATATCCGGTCTAATAGATGTAATATGTTATTTTTCATTTCATACACGTGAGAACTACTTGTTTCTCGCCGATCACGTGATACATGTTGCGCATTGCCGGCGTCTATCAAGCCGCGCAGCTTCTTCAATTTTGCCAACTGAAAAATGAAACACTGCAGTGAACCTCCACCACGATCGTGTCAGATTTTGAGAAAATGGCTATGGCTACACAAGCTGCCTCACAGGGGAAACAAGTTTTAAGACATTTTCTCGGTTTATGTTACCTCAGTAAGAAAGAAAATGCAATCAGAGTTAGAATAGCACAATTAAAACTGGATACTTTTCTCAAAATGGTATGACATTAAATATAAATATACATTATCTAATTTTTATAACCTATAAATGAATCATTTTTAATTTTAGTATTTCAAAGAGTTTGAATTTGTTTATGCTCATGACCCCGAAAAAAAATGCAAACCAGGAGATACTGTTTTAATTCAGCAATTACCAGAAAAGATGACACGTTTAATTACTCATAGAGTAGTCGATATAATCTATCCTTTGGGAGATACAATTGACCCTATATCCGGCAAACCAGTCTATCTAAACAAATACAGGTATTTACTTGATATTTGAGAAAATTTAACTTTGTTTATTTTGATTTTATTACAATGTTAATTTTTCGTATAGGGATGAAGTTGAGAAGGTGAAAGAACTCCTTGGAAAGCATGACAAATCTTTCAATTATTTTGAAGCACCTCCACGAGGAAGATTAGAAGGAATTCGTGATTTTACAGATAAAGAAACTTACGTGAAATATTATGATGATCCTAATGATCCACAACCATATGGATATTAGTTTATATTAGACTTTTGAATAAAAATATTAAATAGTAATTACAACTGTTAAAAAAGTTTATTAACGCTCGAAATGGTTCAGTTGTTATTTAATAATACAATGGATTCAGTCTTGCATTGATCAAATTTGAAATTCATCAATGCAACCTTATAATAATTAGTGTTTACACTATTTTTTAAAGATAATAGGTAATAACTGTCATATTAGAAAATCTACGAGAAATATATCAAACTCAGCTATAAAAAACACGTGCATTTTAAAATAGTACAAATTTCAATAACTCTTTTATCATTAATCTGATAAAAATTCTCTTTCTAAAGCTGCGCCCATGGCATTCCATTCACGATCATCGTCTTCTTCAACAGGATCATCTATTTCTACTGAATCTTGTGACGCGTATTCACCAAGATCTAGATCATCTGGAAGTGATTCCCCTCTCCTGAATCGTGTAACTGGATCCTCATCATCATCATCATCAGCATCATCCTCATCGTAATATTCATCATCAATACATTTAGGTACTTTTTTCTCTCCTTCTGATGAATTATTATCATCGTCATCATCTTGAACTTTCCGTCTTTTCTCGGTAGGTCCAGAAAGATTATCTATTAAATTTTTTGAAAAATTACTTGGATTAATATAAAAACTGATCAAATAAACTTGTATAGTAAAAGAAATAACTGAATATATTACCATTAGAATCTGAAGAATCATCACTGTTATTCTCAATGAACGAGCCTAACTCTTCTTCATTAACTAGATTTTCAGGATCACCATCGCCATCCATTTCAGCATCACTCATGTCTTCATCAACTTCCTTATCCATAATGGCTATTTCTTCGGGAGAAAATGACATGAGTGGATTTATACTACTGGCAAAATCGTTAGATATTTCATCTTCTTTTATTTCTATTCTATCTGGACTACTACAATGGGGAGGTGGAATTCTGGATCCTCTTGCCTATAGTCAAATACGTTAAAAATTATTCAACAAAAGAAACTCTTATGGTTAATTCATGAGTTAGAGTGCCTTTATTAAGTTATGATGCAAAGTTGAAAACAAAAAGTTCTGAATTACAAATACCTTTGATGTTAGAGGGAATAAGCGCTCATCAACATGTTCCCAACGTTCTGCACATGACCAAAGCCAATCTGGATTTACAATTTTGATATTTGGATTCTTTTTTGCAGTATTTGCTTTTGCAGTTCCTGGCTTAATGGCAACTAAATGTGTAGTTTTTTCTGTTATTTCCTAAAATATTCATTATGATTTTAGTCACATGATTTCTCGTATCATTTGCATACCATTAATTACCTGTGTGACTTCAGCTCCAAAAGCTTTAGCAACTTTATATGCGCGACTTTGCTCCAATTTCTGATGTGTAGGTATAAGCCCACTAAATGTAAGATATAATCCTTTGAGAACGCGAGCTCTTACCAGAGGAATAATGACTTTTAAAGGTTTACGTTCTTGATTATCAAAGCATTTGTAAAATTCAGTATGAATTCTTCGTAAAATATCTTCCAAATACAATAAATAATCATCATTATCTTTATCTTCAACAACTTCTTCTTTTTTCTGAGCATCATCATTACTATCAGATAATGGTACATCTTTAACATTATCTTTATTATCTTCTGATTTATTTTCTTCCTCTATCGATGGAGTTTTTTCAGTCTTTAATGATTCGCTCGTTGTGACGGTGTTCTCAATGTTATTTTCAGTTACATTTTCATCTATAGGAACAGATGATTCTATAATTGGTACCGTCTGACTGTAATTAACTTGAACGTTTTTTTCACTATCATTTTCATTATCATTATCATTATTTGCTTTAATATCTTCCTGTTTTGTGCTGTCAGTAGTAGTAATTCCATATTCATTGCTACTTGTTTCTTCTTCAACGATAGTTATTTGTTTTACTGGATCAATTGTTGTTGAAGTTTCCGTTTCCGATATTTCCGGATCACGTTTTTCAAGACCAGGAGGTGCATGAATATCACCAGTATGCCGGAAAAAATGATAAGGTTTTACTTGTACTAAATTTCCGCATCCTTGCCAAACGTCTTCTCGATCATCGATGATGCATACCAGATCATCTCCACAAGGAAATAAAGCTCTATTGAGAAATTATTAATTTATGTATAAATAAAAAATATTCAAAGAGAGGTGGTAGTTCAACTACTCACTTCAAGTTAGCAGTTTTAGATGCTGGGTTGAAACACTCGTCTCTGGAAAGAATACGATGAGAGAACAATTTTCCTTCTTTATCTAACAAAGCAGCTACTGTATGCGCGTAATTTCTAGCTCCAAATGTACAAATATGTAGTTCGTATAATTTACTCATTTCTTCAAGAAAACGTCTAGTACCCGGCCGCAATCTTGTATGATACCACGGTGAATTTGGACCATAAAGTTGATAATGGAACACATCCTAAAAAATAATTTTAATATATATGCAAAATTGTTCGTTATTGTTAAATGAAACATTCAATTATATAGTTTATTAATAAACCTTCATAATTGCTGGAACATTATCATTTGTTGTATGAACAATAGTTTGATCAAGATCAACAAGAAGAGCCAACTTTTTATCTTTTAATAATCTTTGTTCATCTTCTTTGCCAATTTTTTCAGCTAATTCAGGACATACTTTAAGTTCAGGTATACTGTGTATCATAGGAACGCTTGCTTTTGTGATAATACTAGTATTTCCATCTTCTTGACGTAAATCAGCACCGCATTCTGCACACAAGTCTTTCATTACTGTTGGATGTTTACAGCCTGTCATATGAAGTACCACTTGCCTGTAAAACTAATTAGTTATATTGATTCTGAACTATTTAAATCATTTATGTTAATTACAGTTACGTCAGTTATAATGCATTCCTTTGTTGTCAGTTTGCGTAAACTTAATGGTAATAAAAGAAACGTTTGACAATCGTTTGGATTTAAAAAGATTCACATAAAAATTTAAAAATTTGATGATTACCCAGGTTGAAGAATTTCTCCTTCTTTAATTAATATTTCTGTTATTTTTCCAAACTGAGTAGCGCGAAATTTTTTTTCCGCCTTCTCTTCCTCATTATTAGCATTTACAGGATGATATAAAAATAATACTCGTCCCGCGGATATCATAGTTCCGACAGCAACACGCCACTTTTTTAATTTTCCAGGTTTTTCATTACTTGAAAATGTCACTTGAATACTAGCCATTGTTAAAAAATTATCTTTATTCAAAATATCCAATTGATTCCTTTAGCTTGATAACCTTAAATCGACAAAATATATTTTCGCTATGTTTTTGCGCGGGAGACAATATAAACAGACACTACACACACATTTACGCCATTAATTCAATAGCCACAAACATTAGTAGTAAACAGTTATCCAATGGTTCGATCGTCAACACACACTTGTTTACATCTGCCTACACTTGGTTGTCGCTTAAATATTTTCTGTTGTTTTGTATTATTTATTTACTTTCATGAATAAAATGTTTTTTTCTTCTCAATATGTATACATATAATACACGAATAGAGTAAAATGAGCAACCGGTCAGCTGATTTAAAATGAAACCGACTAATCGTCATTTGGAAATAAGAATATCAGGCTTAAATATTTGCCCGCCATTTCAATACTGTCGTTTATTGAAAACAGCAATAATGTTTACAGTTTTATTTCAAAAGTGGTGTTTTTCAAAGTTTCTTCTTATTTTATGTAATTAGTTATAATTAAATATCAATCTAATCAAGTTAAATGTCTTTTTCAACTTTTTTAAATTAAATTTCATTTAAATATTAATATAATTTACAAGATTTGTCTTCAAAAGCAGTTTAATACTGATTCAAATAAAATGTATTCATGATAATTAATCACTCCCTCATAAAATAATAGAATATTAGATATTAATAACTAAACGCTTATTTCAAAATGAGTGTAGAGCAACGTTTAGAAACTCCAACAACAATGATTTCAAATAAAACACCAACAACTGTAAAAATTAGACAGCATTTTAGCTTCAAACCTCTACCTGTTATTGAAGATGCTAGTGATAATGATGAGCCCCCAAAAGATCCTCTTCAAGGTTAGTAGAGATATTTTTCAATTGATTTTTCGTCATAGTATACCAATTAATCTTAATATGGTTTAATACTTTGCAGAACTTTTAAAACAAACATGGGATATACATGGAGTCTCACCACTATTTCAATTCAATTATCAAAGTGAACGACATCTCAAACTCTATGGAAAAAAATTAAGAGAAGAGATAGCATCGTTATTACCTAAAGATGACATGAAATATTCTGTAAAGTTTGAAGTTGATGCAAACATAGATCCAAGACCAAATGCGACAGATCCACCAGCGATAAAAGTTATTATTACAATATTTATTTAATCAAACAGTATTCAATTTTAGTAAAACCTGTTAAACATAATTAAATTATTATTTTAGATCCAAGTGTTCGCAGAGAATATCGAAAAAGAAACACAAAAATGTTTATATACTGGTATTTTAGTATCTTGGGGATCATCACTAGTGGAACTAGATAATGAAAATACTGTAAAATTACCACTATTGTTATGTCGAGGAAATAAAACTGCGATTAGAGCAGTTCATATGACATTAGCAAGAATGTTTGATTGTGTAATAATTCAACTACTAGCCACAGAAGAGGATTTAAGGTGGCTTGCTCCAATTATATTAAATTTTAATGATAACGAAAAAGATACGAAAGGACTTATGAAATTTGAATATAAAATACCCGGCCTAGCTTCATCTGATGATATTAGTTTTTCTTGGGAAATTTCTGTACTTATTAAATTATGGACGGCGTATGTATTCGACAATGAAATTTATTTTAAGAATTCAATGGCTATTGTCACTATACAATTCTAATTAAATTTTATTTTTAGAATATGTGAGAATGATATGAATGATAGTTTTAATGGAAATGACTTCACCTTACCGCACGTTGATCGTTTTTATCAAATTTTGCACAAGCAGATTTTACAGGACGCAGGTCTACAAATAGGATTTAGTAAATTATGTAAAATTAGTCTTCCTTATATAACGATTGCCGAAAATAGGGTAAGTTATTTATTATTGAACATTTGTTATTTATCTGAATATTAATACAATGATATTATTTCAGATGAAGGCTTCAACATCACAAGTTCTAAATAAAGTACTCTTATTTTTTAACGAAAAAGCAACTGAACTATTACATTTATTGAATTGTGATGTATCTAGAAATAGTAATATTTCCAATTAATATTTTAAAAAAAATTTAGTAATATAAAATAATAAATTATTAAAATTTCTAATATATATATATACATACAAAATATGGTTCAAAAAATTAAATTAATTCATAAATACACAAAGATGTTATTCATCTTTAACTTCTGACTCCGTTATTTCCATCTGAAATAAATCAATAAGTTAATAATTGAGTACACTTATATTATTAAGTTATAATTGATAATTTACTTACGGAGTTTGACATTGTCTTTTTGTTTTTTTTTCGTGCTAAAATATGATGTCTATAATCAACATATCCATCTGGTTTATCATCTAGTGTTGAAGGCAATGAAAGCCCTAATACTTCGGATAACATGAAAGGTTTCAACCAAGTGACTAGTGGAGTTGTTCCATGCATGTATATACCTTCTCTATGATAAAATAATAAACCATCCAATGGTGGAGTTGATGGTAAATCTAACAAAAAATCAGTCAAATTTTCATCACAACGAATGTTTGGTAAAGATAGGAATGGATAATTATTTTTATTTTGATCACGCATCTTTAGTTCCGTTATCTCTTTCAATTTAGAATCCAACCAAAATCGTCGAAATTCTGCCTAAAATTATTGATTATTATTATAAATAATTTAAATTATAATTTATAAAAACCAAATCTTACATCACAGTTCAGCAATGGTTGTGTAGACCATGTTAATACGTCTAAAACATAGTAGGTTTGATGCTTTGCTACCCATATACAATCCAAAATAGTACAGTTCCTATTATGTTCATTGGAGTTACCTCCTGGAAGTGCTGAATTAAACTCTGCTAGTCTTTCTCCTCGTCTATTAAATGCTTTTGTGCTTCCCTATTAAAATAATATACAATAATGTCATTAATTCGATAATTCTTACAGTTACAATAATTCTTCATATCATAAAATAATTTTTGTTTCGTACCTTACAAGCGACAATTAAATTTCGTTTACCCTGAGGACAAGCAACCATAGACCACTTTTCTAAAAAATCTTCAGGTACATCAAGCATCCACTCAGACATCATTAATTTATTAGCGTAGTGCCTATATCTTCTGGAATACTGCCTTTTTACGTCAATCTCCATCGATTCATCGCTTTCATCGGGTGATAAAAGTGCTTCGTCCAATAATTTTCTAGCAGCATTAACAAAAGCATCTCTGCTTCTATAGTAATCAAGAAAAATTTTTTCAATATACCATGAATTAAACATTACATTTATATTGATGTACTGGATAATACTCACTCTTTTTGATGCTGTAGTAATTTTTGTCTACGAATTTCTTGGGGAGAATCATCATAATCGGCCTCTAGTTTGTAGTTATTTTTTTTAATCGGCTTTTTGTAAAATATTGATCGTACGTTTGTTTCTTGACATTTGTCATTTCTTTCTGAAATTCTTCCAATTTGTGTAGTCATTGTTAAACAAGTGAAAAAATTCGAAAATATTTAATTTGAAACAATTAGTGAAAAAAACATCTACTTTAATGAAATATTGAAAAATAATAACCTCTAAAATATATCGAACATCTCAGCAACAGCCATACTTTAAATCAAAGGGCGGAGAGGGGGATTTTTTTGGCTCCAATTTAGAGTACCAACGCTCAATATTCAAGATAATCATTTTACCTACATCTCGTATCCTCACGATTTTCGTGATCGAAATAAGATGGAAAATGATCAATCGAATCAACTCAACTTATTTTTTAAATCTATTGTATAATTAATTTTAGTTCGATCTAGAACGTGACTTTGTCAAAAATTATAAATACAAAGGAGAATGTCTGATAAAAAGAAGGTTTTGATGGTATGTTTAGGTAAAATCATGAACTAATATCAACAATAATTAGTCAAAATCTTTTACAAACAATATTTTTCTGGCAAATTTAACCTAAGTATATTTGGTTTATTGCAGGAAATATTTGTCGTTCTCCAATCGCAGAAGCAGTTTTTGCAGATTACATTGATAAACATGACTTGAAAGATAAATGGGAAGTTGACAGTGCAGCTCTTATTGGATATCACACAGGAAAATCACCTGATGTTCGAGCGATGAATACTCTTAAGACTAAGGGTATCACAAACTATGTTCATCATGCAAGACCGGTACTTCTGTGGTCATATTGTATTGTGTTATTGAAAATTTAAATAGTATCAAAAATCTGACGTTTGAACTATAATTTTAATTGTATAGATAACGAAAGCAGACTTTGATAAATTTGACTGGATCTTTGGAATGGACGATGAGAACATCGATGAACTAAATAGAAAAAAACCAGCTGGAAGCAAAGCTAAAATAGAACTTCTTGGATCATATGATGATCAGGGAGAAACGATCATCAGAGATCCATACTATGTAATAATTTAGCTAACAATTATATAAAATACAAAAATTTTCTTAGTAATTGTGAAAATCATTCTTTTTAACTGACTGAATTCGGTTGTTTTAGGATTCAGATGACGCCGGTTTTATCAAAGCTTGGGAACAATGTACCAGGAGTGTTGAATCATTTTTAAAAAAAAATGTTCATTGAAACATTCCTCATGTTTTGGAGAAAAAGAATGTAAAATCATTCCTTAATAAGAAAAAATTATTCAAGAATATTAAAAATTTTCGACGAATTAATTAAGGTGACATTTATTTATAAAAATAATTTTCTTTATACATTTTTATTTAACTCGATGACCCGAAACATAAACTTGAACGATATTTCGATCATCACCAGAGTAAATCAAACGTTGCAATTTTTCTTCAAGTGTGTGATCTGTTAAATTATCTAATGGTCCGTTGTGAGAACATAAATCAATTACAAGTGCATCGAATTGTTTTCCGATGGTTAAACTTCCGACTTGGTCGTCTATCGATAAACCTAAAATCAAGCATCAATGACTAAGTGAACTAACAAAATTGCCAATAACTTACATTTAGCACCACCAAGAGTAGCCAAATAAAATGCATGAATATAATCAATTGATTTGTAAGAATTCGATTTAATCATTTCCAAATGAGCTGATACTTCTAGAGCTGCTCTCATAGCATCTAGAATGCATATACTTTGACCACCTGAAACATCTAAAGAATAAAATAATAATTTAATTATTAATTTTCGATAATCAATTACCAATTAAAATTATTAGAATAATACACACCAGTGCCAAGCCCCACTGTTATTCCATGTGATTTTAATCTCTGAATGTCACAGAGACCACTTTTGAGACAAGTATTCGATGATGGGCAATGAACCACAGATGATCTATGGAATTTTAAAATTTCCAATTCACTATCTTCTAAATGCACCCCATGAGCCAACAAAGTCTAACGCCATATTAATAAAATAATTAATTATTCAACGGATTAATCATAAATAAATAATGTATTCTCACCTTATTCGTTAACAGCCCAGCTTCATTATAGACGTCTGAGTATGTCGCACAATTAGGATACACTGCTTTAACAGTTTTTATCTCTAAAGAATTTTCTGAGATGTGGGTCTATAATGTATCGATTTAAAGATAAGAATTAAAATAGCTTGCTTTATTTTATTCTGATTAAATGCATGAAAAACATAAGCTGTCTTTATAGATTGAATAATTTTATTAAACATACCTGAATGGGAATATCAAATTCTTGAGCTATTTTTCCAAGTTCCTTCATTAATTCCATGGAACAACTCAATGCAAATCGTGGAGTAATGATTGGTTTTATTAATGGACTCTAATTAAAAATAATCAGATTATACAAGAAATAAATGCAGTCAGTTTTTATATTCAAATATTTTGAATAATATCACTTACTCCAATATTTAGAATTTCCTGAATAAAATTTTTTGTATTTTCTAAAGATGTTTTGGTCGTTTCAAAATAATTATCACTACGAGCACAATCCATATTTACTTTGCCAATAAAAGCTCGTTGATGATAATGTGCTGCTTTTTGAGCTAAAATCATAGATGATTCTCCATAAAGAGAAGCAAAATAACATGCTGTTGTTGTTCCAACTGCTAACGTTCGTTTCTATTTCAAAAGTAAACAATTGTTATTGATTATCTAAAATAAAATAACCACTTTAGAAAATAAATACTTACTACAACAGCATCAAATACTTTTTCAGAAAACTTTTTGTCCTTATATTTTTTTTCTAACGGAAAAGTATAGGTTTCTAGCCAGTCAAGAAGACCTCTATCATATCCTATTCCAAGATTAGGTAGTTGAACTGCATGAATATGACAATCTATAAAACCTGGTATGAAAAACTGTCCCTCTTTTAGATGAGTAACGATCTCTGCTGAGATGTGGGATGGATTTGGATCATTATAAATTTTAATTATCTGTAATAATGAAAGTTAGATAGATAATCTCAGTTAAATTTTAAAAAAGTTATAATTTGAACTCACTTTTCCATTCTCAACAAGTATTCCTGCATTTTTATTAATTAATAGTTTTCCATCATCGTTCGTTTGAATTATTGGACCTATGAATAATTGACGTTTCATCTTAGTTGGCTGATTCTGTCAATATTACGCAGATGATTAATTTCCTGAAGAATAAGAGCACGACTAAGTGATTTTTACCAAGGAAAAAAATTTATTGACTATTTTTTTCGTGATAGAAAAAATGATGTAATGCTATCAGATAAGGAAAATGTCATAAGCTTATTCACTTTGTTCATTGAAACACGTGTGTTCACTACTGTACATATGCATCAATTTTAAAGAAAAGTTTTTGTATGATATCAACTTTATCAACGATATTGTCAAGCTCAAGGTATCATCTGTATAATCTAATGTCATTTATGATAACTAACATTAGTAACAATGTCATCTTATCATTGATTTTTAAAATTTTTTAATCATTTCTATAAAAAAATATGAACAGCTAAGGAAATATGAAAAGGTCTGTAGGTCAATGTTTTGTAATAATATCTGTGAATATGGCGACTGAAGCGCGGCAATTCGATAGAAAAACTGCATATTTGAAACCCCACATCTGCGACGACGCTGCGTTACCATGGAATAAATGCTAAATAATTAGTCTTGATACCAAGAACGAAAGTAAAGCTTTCAACAGAAAATTTGAAAGATATTAAAAATGAATGGCAAACAAAATGAATCTAATAATCCAAGAAAAACGAAAAAATCACAGGAAAAAACTCCTGCACCTTCCTATCGAGATTATTTAGACATGGATACCGATGAAGAAGAGTTTGGACGTCAAGGTCAGTATTTTTATTATTCTTTTGAACATGGGAATGAAGTAAATGATGAGCCTTACTTACAAATGTATTTTTATTACAGAAACTCCAGAGCCTGATGAAGAGCTTTCAATAGAACCAGAGAAACCAGTATTTTCTGAAAAAGAATTAGCAACTCTTGTTAGTAATTACTAATGAATTTGCTGTATAAAAGTGTAGTTTTTAATAAACATTCAACTTTATTTTTATTAGGTTCAATATGTGAAGAACCTATCCAACTTTTTTGGTGTACATGACAATTTTTCTGATAATTCTATTGATACAATACGAGAATTTTTTTGTTATCCTGTTCACACAGTCCTGACGATTGTTCAAGAAAATGGTGAATCAAAGGCACTATTGGATTTTCCACAACACATTCATTCTGGATTGACTTACTTTATGAGAATGCCTTGGCAAATTTACACTCCAGATAATTTTATGCAAACTGTTGTCTACGGAAGTTTAAATAACAATATAGAAAAGTCACTGCTAAAGTTCTTTGAAAATATTTATGCTCCAGAAGCTTTTTATAGTAACAAATGGCCAAAAGGTAATACAGTAAATAAGAAATGATTAACAAAAAAACTGTGTTATTAGTTTTTAATAGATTTTTAATAGATTTCTATTTTTAGAAACTTCTTTTAATAGTTATTTCATAATTTGTTTAAATAATATTTCCAAATCAAATGAAATTTAATTCGTAATAAAAAAAAATTGGAATTAAATATTTTCAGTTACCAGAAATGAGATATTTTCAAACTTGAATGAGTTTCTGAGAAATTTAACTAACGCTACATATGATCCAATGGGGCTTGCAATACTTTACATACCTCGAGAAGGAATCCAATGTCTTCAAGAACAAACTTGTGATAACAAACCACTGACTAATAAAACTGAACGTTCTCAATCGTTCAGTGATGGGAACAATGTCAATAGTTTTATAGAAAGATTGGAGAGAGTGGCTTCTTATTGGATAAAGCAAATAAGAGAAGTTTTGAAAGGAAGTAATTTACCAGCAAGACCTATTTACAGAACGATTGGTGAAGAAATTAATTTTTGGAACTTTAGATGTAAATTATTTCTTCGCTTAAATACATACATTATATTCACCAATTATTCAGAAAAGTAATAACTAATTTTCACTTACAGTTGAAAGTCTTAGTTGCCTCCGCTATCAGCTTTCGAATAAATATATTCTTGCAATCATTGAACATTTATTAAAATTCAAGTCTGCCAGAGTTGAACAATTTCATTCTCTAGTCAAAGAAATCGATAAATTATTAACAGAAATAGCTTCAGATATAACTTATTTAAATGTTTTCAATGGCTTTGATAATGATTTTCAAATTCCTGATGGAATTGATGAGTATACCAAAAATATGGTACATTTGATTCGTTTTATTGGAAAAGAATCCAAGTTCTATGGAAGCACGTAAGAATAAGATATTTTGAAAATAAAAAAACGGATGAGATTGATTGGAAATAACTGTTTATTCAATAAATATACATATTTTATTAGAGAGAAGATGGAAGCGCTTTGTCAAGCGTTGAGTACCGAGGTAATAGTTCAATGTAAGAAGTATATCGATTTAAATATAGTACTGGAAGGAAATCCTAAAGATGGTAAAACCATGCTTGAGAATAGCATTAATTGCTGCATTAAATATCAAGAAGTTTTTCTAGAAGTAAGATTTCACAGTGATTTTTTTCTTTGTTTAAGATTTAATGTAATAATTGAATGAGTTTCAGCTGAAAGAAGTTGATAAATATTTGAGTTTCGACACAATATCAACAATTGATGAGAAAAAAATTTTTTGTCATGTTCAAACATTTATGCAAAGATGTTCAGATTTAATCGAAATAACAGAATCAAGAATTATATTTGACGAGTATTAAATATTTTATTCAAGTAATTTTTATTTTATTAAATAAAGTATCTGAGAATAATTGATCCATTCATTTTTATAGAAGTGATGAAAAAATGCTCATAGGTGGAGCAAAGGCATTAGAATATGAAAAACAATATAAAAAAATAGAAAAATTATTTATTGAAGCACTGAATGAAGTGAAAAATGTGCAAGATTGCATTTTAGATGTGACAATGTTTGTATGGCTCAAAAAAATGTTGGAGTTCCGAGGAAAAATTTTTGATATTGATAATATGATAGAGAACTTAATTAACATGATATTTAATGATGTAACAAATGTAGATGAAGGTGTAGAAACGCTTTTTTCTCTAAAAAGGTTTATCCTAAGGCCGCACTTAGGGGAACTTCTTAATAGGCATTGGGAAATAATTTGGAAAATTTTTGAACAAGAAATAGATTGTATGATCACGAATTTGGAAGATGAAGATGACACTTTCCATCCATCAATGACCCCTTATGCAGGAGCTGCAACTTTATTACGTTTAAAAAATAATTATTTAGACAGGCAATATAATGTTTTAATCAATGCATCTGATTGGTTTGGAGATTATGTAGGGCAACAGTAAGTAAAAAATATTAATGAGTTTTTTTTTAATAATGAGTTGTTAATGAATATTCATTATATCTTTTTATAGAACTATTATTGATAAATATAAGTTCGTGCAGAATATTCTATTAGAAAAAGAGAATAAACTCTTCACAAGATGGGAAGTGACACTTTGTGATGATGATGAGCTAAGAGCAGCTCTTAACCAGCCTATAATTAAATATTGTAATATTCCTAATGAAAAATGTATCATCGTCAATCTGAATAAGAGCTACTTAGATGATATGAGAGCAATAAATGAGTAAGTAGAAAGTTAATTATTCAATAAAAGAGAAGGTACTAAAAATAAATGGTCTTATGAAAGTCTATTTATTCAATATGCTAAGATGGAAAGGCTTGGATTACGAAGTAAAAAAGATATCAACGAAATTATTAGAAAAATGGAGTCTATTAATTCAACGATATAATCAAATTGATTATTTATGCAAATTACACAATAAAATCATTTCAGAATGGACTGAAGAAGAATCTTCATTGTTAGAAATTTTATTGGATGATGTTAAGGTTGTAATGACGGCTGGGTTGCCAAGAATTACGTGGCTAAGTGAATTTATTGATAAATATCACAATGAATGTTATAAAAATATTTGTAATGTAAACATTTTTACAGTAATATTTTTTTAAATTATGTTGAAGTATGAGAAATAAAGTTTTGTTTGTTGTTTATACAGTTAAGAGATATAACTTTAAGTTTTCAACAAATGAACGATAAAATAAATATGCGTCTTCAAAATGTGGAGAAGTTTTTGTTAGTTCAAGGCACGAGCGATATAAGTTATAATCTGAGTGAATTCGAAATATATCTTCAAAGCTCTAGGTATCTATTCAAGTATCTCTCATTAAATTTATTGGAGTAAAAAAATAATATAGTAATTCAATTCTGGAATCTACCATAGAAATGAAAATCTTCTAAAGATAGAAGAAATATCTAAGGAAATAGTTGAATTTATTAATGATTTTAAAAATAAAATTCAATATAATGAACAGGTACATATTTAATTTCGATTAACTAAATTCAGTAGAGATAGTAAAAAATATTTGCTATCATAAATGCTTTATGTGTTTATAGACTCTACCGTCTTGGGAAACATACAAAAAAAAAATTGTTAGTGAATTTGAACTAAGTCTAAAAAAAAATATTCGAAAATCATTGGAATCAGCTCTGAAATTTTTTCATGGAGATGGACTCACACATCCTGAACCATTATTATTTATAAATACTAATTACATTGTTAATGATGTATGAAATTTAGAGTAAGTGAGTATAAATCATTTTCAGTATGAAAATATATTCTTTATCTTCAGATCATTTTCGACCCAAGTATAGAGGAAGTTAAAAGGATTTTTGAACAGATGATATTCTTGAATACAAAAGAGATTGTTAATAATGAAATATTAAATGAATTTTTTAAATTAAATAAAAATTATTCCAAAGAAGAAGAAAATTTTATCGAGTTAGATGGAAAGATTCAGGAACTAAAGAACGAAATTTATGACGGTATGACATTCTTTTTCATAACTTTTATTAAATACATTTATTTATAGATATAGTTAATCTTTCAATTAATAAAATACATGTATTTTTGAAACTATATATAAGAGGTAGAAATGGCAATGAAAACGCTTGATCAATTTATCAAATCAACCAACATATTAAACGATATATCAAACATCAAAAGTACATTAGAACAGTTAAAACAAGATGTTGGTGATCATAAAAGGAATACTTTAGAGAGTGAAATTGTTCGGTAAAACATTTTAAGTTAAAAAAAATTATTTCTAATGATTAATCGTTAACTCACATAAAATTTCTAGATGCGAGGAATTATCTAAATCAATATTTTTTATAACAGATAATATTAACATCCATTTCTTATCAATAAATACAACAGGCATGAAGACTCCTCTGCTGGAACAATGTGATTTATTGAAAGATATGCTTTTTGTCGAATTAAGTAGAATAATTGCAGCAGAGCTCGCTTTGCAACGATAAAGATCACAATTATATCATTTAAGTAATTAAGAATCATAATTACTTATTTATCGTATCTATTAAAATAAATTATTTTATGAAGGTCCATCTACTGTGCAGTAGTTAAGGTATCGATTATATCGATCGAATAAAACATTTAAATATTTGCTTAATATGCATCGCATTTCTTATGTACGTAAGTTATATAATACTTTCAGTTTATTAGGACCCTCTGAATTGTCTTGTTGTTATAATTATTTGTCATGTTTCAATTGAATACATATATGTATGTATATAAAATAGTTTATGAACACAAAATTATTAGCAAAAATTAAAAAAATCATAAAAAAAGAATAATTATCTTATCATTGTTTGGCACGTTAATAGTCATAAATATATTATTAATATTGTTGTCATAATAAGTGAATTCATTATAATCATAGTTATGCACCAGTCAATGCATTTCACTCAATAATGACTCGGAATTATCAGTGACTATTGTAAAAACAGGAATATCAGAATTATCTTTCAAATTTACTAATTCACTTTCAGAACTATTATGAGATTTAATGGCAATTTTATGTTCTGATACTGGAGTAGTTGAAGGCAATAAAAATATTAAAGATAACGCAATAAGCATATGCCATAGACTATGAGTATATTGGTAATTAGCCTCTGTCTCAACAGAGGTATATAAAATTAACCCTAAACTGGCCAATAATAAACCTACTAACAATTTTAAATAAATTTTTGGTTTTGTTCGCTTCTTTGTCTTGTAGAAACGATAAGTAAACGTTCCTAATGGAATCAATACTCCAATTGCTAGAGGCACTAAAATGCTTGGCAAACCCGTTTTATTAGATTCCACCCCGAATGCGATTATAAGTACACCAATCATGTGACATACCGGAATAAGATGTAAAGGTAATCGAGCCATTGCAACAAGAGTCACCCAGAATGCTAAGATACTTGAAAAAAAATCACAGTATTGCAACACTTCGTATCTTGTGATGCAGTAAGTCATGAATTTTTGATCACAGGCATGGTATAATGATGAGAATAACATTGTAGAAAAATATACTAATCCTTCTGTGAAAAGTTTACGTTTTACTGCTACATAAATGGCTGGTAGGAAGAAGGCATTGCTGAATATTAGCATCAAAAATGATAGCAAAAGAGAAGAACGTAAGTTTACGTTAGTTGCATCAGTACATCCCCATCCGCGATATCCTGAAAGCCGAAAAAAATGATTGAATAAATGATAAAAGCATGATCCATTAAAATATTTTTATAAAAAAAAAAAGTTACCTCCAAAACAACTACACGTTGTATAATGCAATAAACCACGATGGATTTCTTCACAAATTCCGTAATCTCCACATGCATGTGCTCCAGAAAAAACACACTGACGGGTACGAATGTTTAACGAAACCAAAATCTCATTTGCGTCACAACGAACTTTTTTTCTATAAAAAAAAATATAAAATATTAACAAAAGATTTCAAATCCAGTTGAAAAAATTCAATTGATCCATGAGTTTATTTAAATCTATTGTGTGAATAAATGAAAGCTTTTAATCCTCGATTTCTTGTTTTAATTTGTGCTTTCAATGTTTTTTTATTGTACATACAGTATAAAAAATTAACTAAACACTTACTCATGGAGGAAGCATTTTGTTTGTAAAGCAATGTGCCATGTATCAGGTTGAGGATAGGGAATAATTAGATGCTCATTATTTTTGTTGAAAGATAAGTTCATCATCATCGAGCGATCGTGGCATATGATTTCACCATTAACTCTATCAGGGACACGGGAACGTCGAACACAAATATCAACAAAGACTTGTTGATTGGTTGACATTTTATCCACCTCAAGATGAACTCCAATATCTAGAGATCCTCCGACATCCACCAATGGTAAAATATTGAATTGTGCAATGACAGGATGAATATCAGTCAACATTAACCACGGTGTTAACCATTCCTTTCCTTGAAATAAATAAACTCCAGAAAAAGTTTGAATCTGTTTAACTCTAATTAATTGAAATCTTCGTGGGCATGGATCTTGTTCTATATAATCTTCACTTTCAGAATCATTCAGTCTTTTAAAACTTGACAATGTATGAACTGTCAAACTCGTAGTAGTATTGGAAATCCATTGCCGTATATATGAATTTTCAGTTATCTTAACAGGACATTCTAAAATAAAATGAAATAAAAATATCCAATTAATTTTCAAAAATAGAAATGCATATAATTTCAATGATTATTAAATATTTTTAATACATTTTAACTCACCTGAAATAGATACTTTAACGTTGAAGTTAATAATACTGTCAGATACAACGAGTAAGTAATAATAGCTATCTTCATAAGGTGTATTTTCAGTAAATGTATAAGAATTATTTACAGTTAAGTTTCTCATTAAATCAGAATGACTATGATTAAAAATTGGCAACGTACGTCCTTGTAACATTAATGCTTTAATACAAGTTTTTAGTCTTTTTTTTGAATTGGAAATAGTAAAATTGCATCCCCATACTTTCACACGAAAATTCCAAGTACCGGATGGAATAAAAATTCTGAAAAAATCGAAAATTTTATTTAATATAAAATCTCTTAGTGGATAAAGATATAATATTACTTGTAATAAGTTGATGGTTGACTTATTCTCAGTGTTGTTTCATGACCAGTAGGAATACTTTGAATCCCATTTGCTTGTAACCATATACCAACAGACCCTATACTATATCGACATTTATGTCCAATTCCCTGAAATTGTAATATGAGAATAAGTCATATAGTCAAACATAAAATGAGTAATTCATATAACAATGTTAATCCATACGTACATCTTGTTGTACTTTTTCATCCCAATGACTCATATAAGCTCCAACGAACCAATCACCGGGTTCTGGACTGTTTACTGGTACAATTGCAGTAGCTTCAGAGTTGAAGGTAGTCATGGTAGTTACTACAATAGAATTATTTCTCCCCGAATACATATTGAGTGGAAATGATGCATTATTGAGAGAAATGATTGGATAGCTGCCTGATTGTAAGTGACTAAGAATAAATAATTAAAAAAAAAAAAAAAAATTAAGAGATTATAGTTATCTGCTGAACTTTATCAGCCAACTTCCTTTTGATGCTTACATATATACTTTTCTTGAAATACAATCTTTTCCATCCATAAAAGCAGCAAATTGCCATGTAGCTCGATAAACTTCCTTAGGAACAGTATAATGAAAAGTAGCAACATCACTGTAGCTCTTAAAAGCATGAAGTGCACCTTCTTGACTGGCTTGTGGCACTAAACTTGAAGCACCTAAAATTATAATAAGGATGAAATGAATGAAAATACTCAATAATAAAAATGATAATTTTGGAGTAATAATGAACCTACCAGTAATTAATAATAGAAATCCAATAAAATAAATGAACATTGGGTCACTTGATACATTGTAATATTTTATGAGTAGCATGACACTTTTTTAATTAGTTAACAGTAATTCAATTTATATATTTATGTATATACATATATCTATATATTTTTTTAAACTTTTAATTGTCAACTTTATAATTAAGTTATCTAAAATATAGATTGGTCCTGTAGAAGTCAGGCATTAAAATATATTTTATTTTGTCATAGTACCATTGATTATCACATAAATCATGAAAATATTACTCAAGTAGCACAACATTAACACATATCACATACAATTTTTGTTTTCTCAATATTATCTGGTGTTGAATTATTTTTTTTCATATATTCATTCAACTTTAATCCAATAAACTTTCTCATATGTAAAATATTAGATAATTTTACTAAAATTGAGTGATATTAACTATATTCTACATGGCCACTAAGATTGTGTGTATATAAGTAAAAAATATAAGAACTAAACCACAGAGGACTGTCCCTGAACACTATGTGATGTTATTATTGTGCATGTCAATCCTTCTCCTTCATCCTCACTACTACATACTCCAAACTCATCATGAACGCATACATATATAGTGCAGCTACAGAGATGAAAGATGCATTCGTTCCTTTCTTTGGAGCAGATCAAAAAGTATGGCGCCAATAGCAATCGACATTCATTTAAATTATTTGTTTACCGTTATATGGCATTGATTTATATATAATCAATTGAAATTTATGCGCAGGAAATGTAAATTGTTTTTTATATCCTTTTTATTGATTTATAATAACATTATATTGTATGGATGCAAATAATATGTTAAATATCGCGCGCAGATTCGCAGTTATGACGCTTCTGCACCAGAAGAATCAGCTTACAGCGCCATCTTGAAAAGAATGTCATGTTGGTAAATGTACCATTAATCGGTTATTAATGACCAAAAAAAATTATTACTTTCGATTATACCTACTGCAGTTTCAACATTTTTTTTATATTGATTTCATTGGCAGCACTTGTTCTAATATGTTAATTTTTATTTTTAGAACTTCATAAATGTGTATGACAAAAGTGCTCATTACAAAGTCATTACCAATTGTGTCTAACCTATCAGATCTATCGAAAATAATTTATTTGGTTTTAGTGAAATATAATTTGTTGGGAAGATTAAATTTAAATTACAGACAAAAGATAATAAATAATTAATTTGATTTCTTTGTGTAACCAAATACATAGAAACTGGCAACACTGCCAGTTAGAGTGTATATTAGTGTGAGTATTCAGTGTGTCTTTGCATACTGGTAGAGTTCCTTCGACTGGCTCAGAATGTTCATGTTCATCCGCAGTTATCCGCAGTGTGTGTTTTACATTTTGTTGTATGTGCAAATGTTGTGAAGGTTCAGGGAGACCCATAACGAAGTTCATAATTTTCACTTAGTGAATAAAATGCAGTGTCCAGAATAAGGCATATGAAAATTATAAAATATAAATATTTAACAAAACATAGTAAACAAAATATAAATCTAACAATACAGTTATTAAAATGTATATTAATTAAAGATAAATAATTAAAATTAACTTGTAAACATTCACATTTTACCTTTAAAAAATCGATTATCAGAGAAAGTGCATTAATAAAACATAACGATTGAATTAGTAAGTTATAATGGCAGATTTCGATGCTATATACGAGGAAGAAGAAGAAGAAAATGAACAAAACTTAGAGGATCACTACGTAACCATTGTTCCTGATCCTATTGTAATTCGTGGAGCTGGTAACATGACAGTGTAAGTTTTTATTGCAATAAAAATTTTTATTGTTGTCCAATTGTCTGCAATTATTGAGTTGATGTAAAAAACTTCAGATGAAGTTAATTTATAATGGGTAATGTTATGAAGTTTAATTTCCACGAGGACTTGATTGAAGTATTTACTTCAATGTTTATAATTATAGCATTTGTTGAAATTGATTAATTAAAAGAATGTTCTTTATTGAATTTACTCCAATAAATATTAAATTAATGTATAAACTTTTTATCAACTCAATATGAGGTCTATAACCCTAGAGATTGAAGCTAAACGTCACAATGAATTGTTGGGTGCTAAAAAAGTCTTTGTTCCGTGACTTTTTTTTATTTATTAGTGACCTCGACTTTACCTCAAGTATTAAGGACGTATCAATTTGATATTTACATTCGTTTTTATGAACAAATTTTTTATCACCATAGTAATAACTCATTTCTTTGTTAGTCATTTATAATTTTTGTGTATTTTACTCAGAAAAAAAAAATTCTTCAACTGGTTGTAATTCACATTTATGATAATTAAGATAATTTTTCTTTATGTTTAGATTTGGTTTAAGTAATCGTTTTGAAGCAGAATTCCCAAATGGACTAGTCTCAAGGGTTGCCCCAGAAGAATTTAAAGCTACTGTTATGCGTGTTAACAGTGTACTCAAAAAAACCTTGCCTGTTAATGTTAAATGGCTCTTCTGTGGTTGTGTTTGTTGCTGTTGCACTTTAGGTTGTTCATTGTGGCCAGTTATTTGTCTCAGTAAAAGAGTAAGTAAAGTATTCAATATTCTACCTCACATCTCCTTTTTTTTATTTTTATCAAAAATAAAGTTGGATTTTTAACTAAAAACTATGTTCACAGCTAAAAAACTTTTAATGAAAAAATGTTTGATATAAAAAGAAAAAAGTTTTCTTTTTATAGAAACTATTTTTTAACGATTAAAAAACTTTTTCATTCATGAAGAATGTAAATATTAGAATAATGGTTGAAATATTGTAATTTTTATTTAAACGAAACATACACTTAAAGAAGAATCAGCTTTATAAAGTTTAGAGCTGATTAATTTCAAGTAGACCAATCCGATAAGTTTCAAGATAAATTCAGTTTGTGATATGAATAAAATTTTTATCATCTTCAAAATTACGGAATAAATAGATGTAATAATTTTCACAATAATTATTGGTTACTCTGTTTTCTTATCTTTTATTGATTTACATTCAATGCGAGTACAAAGAAAATTTTTTATTATCAATAAACATACATTAAGTGTTCATGTAGATAACCATTTTATTGTTTTCTTTTTAATGAATAATTTTTGTATAAATTAAAGTTTTATTGCACAGGATGTATTTTTTATTTGAATGATGCATAAAAACTACTATATTAAGGATAATTAAAAATAATAAATTTTACTGTTAAGTTTATTTATTATAAACTTTTTTTTAAAGCATATCTGATCAGAATACAAATTCAACTTAATTTTACGTAATTCAATAAAACTTATGAATTATTTATTAGACTCAGCATTCGTTAAATAAACTATTGGAGTGGGAAAATAGTCGATTGTATCATAAGCTGGGGTTGCATTGGAGGCTTACCAAACAAAGATGTGATAGTTCATCAATGATGGAATACGTAAGTACACAACCTTTTTTGACACTTCATGTTAAGAATGAATAATAAATGAACCTCTGTTTTATGATTTAGGTATTATTAATTGAATTTATCCCTAAAATACCAATTTACAAGCCAGATTAAAGAAAATCTTAAGAGAATGGCAACAAAATAGATAAGTCAACAAAACAGTAAGAAAGGAAGAAGAGATTGCTTATATGTTTTATGTTAATGCTTTTATCGATAATTAATAATTATTTTAAAATTGAATTACATAAAAATATTTTTGTATATACAAAGGTAAAGTAGTGGTGCTTCAGTGCCAATTGGATAAAAAGTTATTAATATACACAAGGAGAAATTAAGAAAATGAATGTTGAAAACACTAACTGTTAATGGAAAATGTGGAAAAATTTAATAATTTATTCCATCAAAGACTCTTGTATTTTTATTGAACAAGAGTAAACTTTTATACGTGCGATATTTGTAAAAAGAAATTGATATAGACTCAATATCATTTATACTAGACTTTATCCATTGGGCCATTATTGTTTATATCATATTTTAAAAAAAAATTCATAATTAATACCAGCGGAATGTAAATATTTAATGAATTAATTATCGTAGAGTGATTAGTTTTTTACCTAAAAATTTTTAATCTATTAAAATTAGTTAAAAGATTTTATTCGAATGAAATTGGTTGATTATCATAATTACATATATCATGTTTAATTAAAAAAATATTAGCTTATGTAAACGATTTTTTTGTTCATAAACTTCTTGATTATGAAAGTATAGTAGTTTTCAATTGATTAAAGAGTTAATTATATGAATGTTAATGATCATTTAAGTAAATATTAAATAGTAATATTTAATTCTAAATCTTTATGTGCCTTAAAAAATATTTTTTAAATAATTTTATTATTAGATTGACGTATACTTTAAGTAATAAGTAAAAGTTTTTAGGTAAAAAATGTAATCATTTAATCATCATTGTCATATAATCGTATCGTTAGGGTAGATTGCATTCAACAAACATATTTTAACGATCGTAAAACGATTTTTTTTAACCTTCGGGAGGTTTTAACCTTTCAAGTCCGTCCAATAAGCTGAGCTAAACACTTTTATTTAAAATTTACTTTATTCATGCTTTAATTGATTTATTCATTAAACGCTATTATCAAAATATTTTTTTTTATCTTCACTAGATACTCAATTTGAATCTCTCGGGCTTGAATGGTTAATGAAATTTGTAAATGTATGAAATGCCCAAAAAAACACTCAATAACATCATATTTTCTATTTGTTATCCACAAATGTGGGCTAGAACTGTACTGGTGATATGAATTTTCAATTTAACCGGCTGTGGCCAAAAAATATCTGCCGATATGTTATTTATGCAGAGTGCAAGTTATTTACTTACTATAATTTTTGTTAAATAGCAATTTTATGAGTATATTAAATGTTAATAAAAACAAAGTGTTTTCACAATTGTGAATGCGGACGGACAAGTTCCATCACATTAATTACTTTATTTTATTTTTATGAAAAGGATTAAAAACAATAATAACGAATTAGTAGGTATTTTTTTTTTTATTTGCAATAAAGTGTCATGAGAATAAAGACTAGAATTAAAATTTAATCCACTGTCATTCGAACAGCGAAAAGTTTAAGTTTTCTTTCATAAATTTAATATTCTTGAAAATTAAATTGCGATTAATATCAAATGTCCGCAGAACCATAAAATGGTTTATATTTTTTAATATAATAAAACACTGAACAATTGTTTGAAATTGAAGTATTTCAATTTCATTGTATTTATATAATAAGTAAATGAAATGATCGCATAGATAATGCTTTTAGTTATTTAAGAGATTATATTAATTATTAAAAATAAGTAAGAAAAGTTTAAATAGTCATTTTTATTATTTGTTTCACTCATAAGACTATCAGATGCATGTTTAAGCTCACAGTAGTAAGAGGTAAATTTTTCGTTGAAGTTTCAATATTCTTGAAATAGCATTTATAAATTAAAATTCATTAATCACATAAAATATTAGTTGAATTAAAAAAAAAAAATAGTTAATAAATAAAATAAGTATACATAAATGTAGTGTCGACGTGTGCCTTTTGCTCATGGATATTTGCAAAATCTTTGTGTACATAAACCTTTTAACGTGTACATACATCATTAGTATTCTCGCTATTATAATTACACTAAAAAAGCTTAAACTGTAGATGTAATGAAACAATACAAAAAAACTGCATATCACAAATAAACATGTGATTAATTTTTAATTCCGTTTGCAATTCATCGACAAAATATAATAAATAAGTCACAAATAAAGTATTTATCATTTTAATCTTTTCAGTAATGATGAGGAAGATGGGGGAATCTTGATGTTTTTGGGCCTAAATTCATCAAAACTGTGGAATAATAATTATAAATAAGTTCCTAAAAATTATTTTTATATGATAACAAATGTGATTATTTTAAATTTAATTCTTATTACGTGCCACTTATGTTTAAGTTAATTTTAGTTGATGGAATATACTTCAATAAAATGTTTTTAATCATCACATTGAAAAACATTAAAATTTTTTTACTGATAAAAACATCTAGAAATAATTGCAGGATATTTTAATGATATGCACTATTATTTCATCGAATAACAAACTCGTAGAAGTACCTCGAACTTTTAACGATCTCAGTTGCACTCTTATAATATGAATTTCATTTACATTTTTAAACGTAATCTTAACTAAATGGGTTAAAGTGTCAAATAATTAATTAAAAATTTATTTTCGTTGAGAAAATTATTGTATATCACTATGTTTAACTAGTTAACGATAAATTATAAAATCGAATAAATAATTTGTTCTATAATACAAAAAGGTGCTTCACGGAAAATGATTTCTCATCTACCCTCTATTCATAAACAAATGTTAAGACACTCGAACTAAGAAAAAGAGCAAGAAGTAGGATAATATTATAAATGTTTAAAACACATGTGTATATATACAACTTATGTCTATCAGTCGTCATCTGCATTATCTGCAATGAAATGGTATTTGCCAAGAATAATTCTGTGTTATGGTAATTGAACACAGGTGTCTAGCAGCATCCAATACAGAGAATCCATCATATAGTAGTTGAAATAAGTTAAGACGCTTGCTAACACGTATGTTAACGCTGCCGTTAAACGCTTTTGTCATTCTTTGGTCAGTTATTCGATAAATAATCAAAGCAATGTTTTCATAAATTACATTCTTCTTTACCATACGCATGGCAGGCAATGATACGTCAACTAACGAAACCTATTTGGGGTGAGTTCATGAAATAACTGATAACAAAAAATATGAACTGATGAATGAATGAATGAATGAATCATTGAATAGTGGAATAAAAAATTTGTATGACGTTTTTTTTGTTTATTAGGGATGATTGCCCAATACCGATACAAGTTTTGGATTTTATACATGATTTTAACAAACCTGATTTAGAATTAATTTGGCCATGTCAAGTGAGAAGTTATTGGATTAATATTCAACCATTTGTCCAATTCGTTCGTATTTTATTAGCTTATGTCACACCTTTTATTATTATACTTGGTGAGTGAAATATTTAATTCTTGAAATGAAAAACATCTATTATTAGGCGATATTATAATATTGGATCAATTTACTAGCTCGTGCGTTGAATAATTAATTTAATTAATGACATAAATATAATTCATTTGAATTATGCACCAAACTAGAAGAAAAATTAAGTGTTTTGTTACCATGAGGAATAGGAATATTAATTGATAAAGAACTCATCAACTGACATATTGATCCAATAGAAATGAGTAATGAATTAATTAACCGGCTCATAATCAATTGAACAGCAATAGTAATAATAATAAATATTAATAGGAGTAGCACTGAACACGGTGTCATTTAGTATGTTGAGTACGTTAGTATTCTGTGACTCTGGATTATCTTTGTATTTACGAGCACTTGCTATATCGGATAATGGAGCGTTAATTTTCAATTATGCTGTTGGAGTTGCAAGATCTCATTCATCACGTGTCAATGCCCTATTTATGGTAATTTTATTCATAAAAATTATTTCTACTTTACGTGCATAATTTACTAATAATCATATTGTTTACAACAATTGACTTTTCTTCCTATACTTTCTTAAAGCTCTACATTAAATCCATATTTTTTATCATTGCTAATATTAATTCAAAGCTAATACCTCGGGTAAAAAAATTCACGCTTCAACTAACTTTCAATGCCTTAGCTTGAAATTTATTTCTCGTTTATCATCAGAAATATGTACTCGTACTTTTTTTTGCAAGAAATTCTTTTTTAGAACAGTCAGTTTTTATGTGGAATGACTTCAATATCGATGGAATTCTTTCAATTTACATCAACTTGGCTCGTAGTATCGTTGACTTGGGCTCGTGTTGGAGCAATAATGTTTCCTCTTCAAACTCGTCATAAAGATCATGATCGTTCTGCAGCTATAACGATTGTTATTTTAACATGTACTAGTTTTATAGTCTCTCTGACAAAGTTATATTCCGGTGGTAAGTATTGAAAAATTTCATGGAATATCTTAATCGATTCCATCTGTATATATTCTTGTAAATCACAAATTTTCACCTTCATTTATATTCATTTATTCAAAAGGCTATGAATCGGACAGTGTATTTGAATTTATACCTTGTCAAAAAATTGCTACACCATGGGGGAGTACGATGTATGTTTATATAGCATTTTCCACTTGGCTTCCTTCACTTTTCATTTCTATTGGTAACTTATTGCTTATTATTCATATGAGAAAGTCTGATGTAATACGAATCCAATTAACTCGTAAGTACTTGAGATATACAAATATTTTATTTAATCAAAATTAAGTTAATTCAGAGGTCATTATTAAATATTATTAAAGAGTGATTATAACAAATAAGTCAATGATTTTTTGAATAATCCAGGATGATGGAGTATTGATTAATTTTTTTAGGAACGATTCGTACTAAACCAAATATAATAAATCGCACAAGTAGAACATTATTAGCAGTATCAATTGTTTACTTAATTTTATTATTACCAATTGGAATTGTAGAGACTTTAGAATTATATTGGGATGTAATATTAATTAGATATCCATCTAGAAATATTGAAGAAAATGAAGAATATATAAGTTGGTGAGCATTAAATAATTTAATTATTTAAAATGCTTTTAAATGGTTTACTGATTATAAATAAACATTTGTAGGCTTCAAGAAAAAATGTTATTAAAGTGGTGTCGAGGTTTTTTTTTTCATGTTTATCACTGGAATTTTGCTATAAACTTTTTCCTCTATTATCTGACAGGAAAAAAATTTAGAGATCGTGTGTTGAATGTTCTGAAAAGCGGTAGGAAATCATTATCATCAATAAGTACCTCACTAAGTAAACGCTGTGGTCTGTGCTGTAAATTAACTCGTAACTTTTTACCTTCACAAGCATCTAATATTCTATTAATACGAGTAATATCTGTTGGTGAACAGAATATGTGCAATAATATTGCATCACAAAATATTAATAGAACAAATAGTGTCAATAGATAAACTAATGTAATTGAAGTTGAATATTTTTGAGTCTGTTATAAACTTTTCCCTACATATTATTCATACTTTTATAAACGTAAAATTAATATATTTGCAATTAATGATAAGCAAATGAGTTAATAAATAGACAAATATTCTTCTATCACTCAGTCAATTTATATTAATGAAATATATCACATTCTACATAAATACATTGTATAATAACAATAATGTTATGCAAACATGTTAAATTATTTGTCATCAATGTCATAAAAAATTGTCAGCCACAGTGTATAATATCAAATAATCACAGAGTGGTCCCAATATCATTGTAAATTATACTATAAATTTGAACATGAATTTTGATTAGTTTACTTAATCATATAAAGATATTATTTTTAAGAAGTATAATAGAAAAAAATTATTATGCAAAATCAGTTGTAGGTAGAAAAAAATATTTACAACTGTTGTACGCCTTAAAAGATACAAAATTTCTAAAATTGTGTACATTTTCATTATTTTAAGTATTCAAATCTTTTTATTGATTGCTAAAATTTATTGTAATGAGGATATTATTTTAATAGTAGCTGTCATTTATCATATTTCATATTATTTAAATATGAATGATATTGTTCTTAATCTATTATTGAAGTATAAGTTGATATTAAAAAAAAAAGTTTTATTTCATAAAATATTGATATTTTTTATTAATATATTATTCCATCAGAATCTAATTTTTGATCATTTATAAATAAATATACGAAATAATACAATTTTATTACAACTCTAAATGATGAAGTAGTACCATCAATGAAGAAATCGGCACCGTTCAAGTGACTTTCAGTATTTCATAGGAATTTTTTTTTTTCTATTTTTTCAATTATATAACAATGAAAAAAGTGAAACATACTTTCATAATTAATACTTGGTTCTTAAATTATACAGAATACACCTAACTTACGTGTATTTTCATCCACGCAAGGAATGACATAGAAAAAGCTAAAAATTAGCTGAATATTGCAGTAGTCAATGTTCGTATAAAACTTTTGACTACTCAGATTTAACGTTTAATATATACAATCGTTAGTATCTAAATAATTACCCCATCGTTAGCTGATTAAATTAATGATCAGCTGTTAATTTATTAGGTTCTATATTACACCTTACTTCCATCATCAATGTAATTAATAGAAATTGATCTTTTTTTTTTCTTTGATACTTTTCAATGATTTATATAACCGAATAGAAGAAAGTTTTTCATAATTATTGATTATTTTATTAATTAAGAGTATCAATCAGAGATAGTTTAGTTATGATACTGGAAGATTTTTTGTTTCTAATTCGAGTTTTGTAAAAAAAACTGCTTATTGAGTGAAAAATTAGTTCAATCCATGTATTGAATAAAGTTTAAAAAATTATGTTTAAGAATATATTGAACTTTGGTATTCGAAAATTATTAACCTGTTTGTTTCATTCTTTTCAATTCAATTTTTTATCAAAAATATATTTAATATCAGTTATCAAATTACATTATTTGATTATCAAATACTTTCTAATGATATCCAATCGATGGACCCAAATTATATTAAAACTATTAGTATGAGTTTTCCTGATTTACAAGGTTGAGTTAAATGAATTCATAAATTTATGAATATTGCGGTAAATCACGGGGCACCCGATCAACATAATTAGCAGGAAATTGTCCTTTTTTACCGTCATATTCCCCATATAGCCATTCATCTGATATTCTTGATAACACCGTTATCTTAGCTCCTTCCTGTAAACCATTGTAAGTGTTTAATTTAAGTAATAAATGGAAGATAGATAAATGGAATAATAATTTTTTATTTAAATAACTTTTTTTAAGATTCTAAGTCTTTTAATAAACTCATTAAAGTGATTTTAACTTTGTTGATTTTTTAAAAAATTTCTTCTATTATTTTGTTTTCACTTAAATCTGAACTTTCAAGTTAAAAATGCCTTCACGTTGTTAACTTGATAGAAAATTAAATTTTACTTTACCTCAAATGGAAGATCCTCCCACGTTTCCCCAGCAAATGTGTACAAAGCGTTAACGATGTTCGATGAACAGCCCGGTAATGGTACAATAATATCAATAAAATTCGCTGGAAACATTCCAACACGATTGTCTACTTGACCCTCTAGCCAATCATTATTAATTTTCTTCGTTAACATCACAATGTCTCCCTGCTTTAACGTAAGATCTCCCAGTTGAATAGCTTCGAAATCATAGAGTGCAACACCTTGAGGTTCAGGTTCCACTTGAGCCTATTTAAAGAGTAATGAAAAATCTCTTAATACTTGAAAGAGTTAGAGAGTAAAATTATTTAAACTGATCTAGTAATTTAAAAAAGTATCTCTAAACATTCATCATAAATAGATTTAATTTCTTTGTTGATGGCAATTGAAATAAACAAAAATGATAAAAGTTATTTAAAAATAGTCAAATAAAAAATAATACGCAAAATTCTATTTAAAACTAAATTAAATTCTACATATAGCTAATATCATAACAATTTATTTTAGAACTTACAACAGAAGAATTTAATTTAGTTAAGAACTCAGCTGGAGGTGCTGGCGGAGGAATAGATGGCATTGGAGGTGAAGAGTCTTCCCCATTTCTTGGAAAGGCTTCAACGAAAGCTTTCGTTGGCCACGTAGAATTATCTTGAACTTTAGAATTACTGAAAATCCCATTACTTTCCGTCACTCCAGTTGAAATAGCTTTAAAATTAGGTACAGTCGGTGCTAAACTAGTATGTAAAACTTTCGGCGCCGGTGGTTTTGGTGGTCGTGCTCGAATTATTGTCGGCATTGAAATATTATTCACTGGTGGCGGCTTGATTGTTGGCGTAGGACCATTATTGTAAGCAAAAAAAGATGCTTCTCCAATATGTTTAACACCATTAGTTGAATTATTACTACTTGCACTTGTTGGTGAAAATGGATCAAATGTTGTACTTTGCTTCCATGGATCATTGTGCGGTTCATTTCGCTTTGTCAAATTTCCAAAGAAGTCAAAGTCATCTTCAAAGGCACTTTCAGTTTGTGATGTATTACCACTACTTGTAAATACTGATGGATTTGAGTTTCCATCACTTCCAAAGCTATCAATGCTAACTCCATCACTACTAGATCTCGTAGTAAATGTAGGAGATCCAGGAGGACTTAGGTCTATTAATGATACAGTTCCTTCTAATAAATTATTAGAATGACTGTTTTTCACTGAATTCGTTGGTGGATAATGATTATTTGAAAACTTTACATTTACTTGTTGAGTTTTCGTTGATTTTAATCCAAAGAAATTCGTAAACAGCTCTGATGGTTTTGTCTAAAAATAAAAGAAAAAATATGAATTGATAATAATCACAATGATAAAACAATAATGTGTTATATAAATATGATAAAAATGAAAATAAACCGAAGAATAACTCAGAATTTCAAGTATGAACTGATAATAAAAACAAGGTAATTATATTATTGTGACTTATTTTTCCAAACATTAATATTTGAAAAAAGATCGACAACGTTCTCGTATGTTCATATATTTACACAGTGCTGTACACTTGTTTTGATAGGTATTACTTAGAATAAGCTTTTTCAAACATAGGTAAATATTTAATGAGTAATCTTTCATGTAGACTTACATTTTTTTTTGGTTTTTCTGTTTGATTTTGAAAATTATCTTTTTTGATCCGTGGAGGTGGAGGTCGTGGTGGTGGTTTTTTCTTCTGTACTGGCTGAGATGTTGTTATAGAAGCAAAGGGATCACTGGAAAAAAATTTTATATTAACAATAACAGTAATAAATAGTTATCAGGTCGATAGTAATCAAATGTGTGATTAATCAATAGACATAAAATGGAATATAAAAAATGTTTTAGCTTGAATGAAATTCATTTGAATGTTAATTAAGGAAAAACTAAATGAATACTGATTTAGATAGTATCTTAAAACTGAAAAGGGAATGTCTAGTAGAGCTAACAAGGTCATCAATGAAATGATGAAGGTTATCATCTTAAACAACTAGTTAATGAATTCTTTCAACTTTTATCCAATTTTTTAGAAATAATTCCGTCATTTACAATTATAATTATGAGTTACATCATATATAATATTTATTTATAATAGTAGACACAGATGTAGTGTCACAATAACATAAGCGAATTCATTAATAGACCTGTTTACAATCATTTATTCACTCACTAGATCTTTTGAGCTTTTGAAATAACTGAAACAAGTTTTTCTTTAACAATAAACTACTAATAAATTAAGATTCATTACATTTATGTTCTTAATAGGTCTGAATTTTTAACTCCACTTAAAAAGTATCTATTTCAAGATGAAAAGAATAAAGTACATTTAAAAAATACAATTGTCGCAATAACAAAAGTAAAGAAATTAAATGAATAGCAAAAGTGAGTAATGATGACGATTGATTGATAAGAAATATTTTTATAAAATAAAAAAGTTTAAAAATACTGTGTAATGAAGATAAATAGCGGTACAAGTGAAAATAAAAGGAGTAGTTAAATGACTCATAATATGAGTGAGAAATGTAAAGAATAAAAAATTAATTTACTTATTGCACCAAGCTAGATTTCTTTGGCTAATTGGATTTCCAGGAGGTTTTGGTGCCGATCTTGTTGGTATTGGCATCTCTGAAAGCAGATGAATAATACGTAATTAAACAGGAAATCGGTAGAATACATCAACTAGTGCACACCACATACAACACTCAACATACTGATACTAATGTAATTTGCCTGACACTGAGCAGTACCGAGCGTCACTCACTCATACATTCAACTGCATACGATATTTCTATGTAATATCATTCTCAAGTATTTGGTAATTGCGCATTTAACCAGATTTATCAACAATGTTTATTATTATTTACAGATGTGAGTATTTGATGCATCAATTACACGCCCACTATTTATTACTTTAACCTTCTACTTGCCATATTTTTTACTCATTATTAGAAAACTACTATCAGAGTAAAAGGTCCTTTGTTACTTGTTTGATATTTAAACAGTTATCGTTATCATTTTTTATTTATTTTCCATATATTACTTCAGCTAGGATACTTTACGATTCACATACCACTATGTCTTGATCGCACTCCGCGAATCATCTTCAGGAACACTTTCGCTTTTGCAGTGACCGTTACAAAAATCACATACCGTTGCTAACTACAACAGACGGTTAGACCTTTTAAACTTAGGAGGACAACTGGCGATGTAAACCTCACCTGTCCTAACATATGCAGCCATTTTCTACTCTCAAGTGAACAAAACCTCTATACTTTTTTTTTATATATTCCGTATACGGAATTTGAACCAATTATCAAAATAACATTGATATTATCGATATTTGATAATAATAAAAGTAGCCATCTTTATTTTCGACTGCAAAAATCATTTTTACCGACTTTCGGTAACAATATCGTGAAAGATTCAATATGGCGAATTCCGTTGTTGCATGTTTTGAGAACAATTAACAAAAATTTCAGTTGTCATCTCAACGTGTCTAAGTAATAATGTTATAACATATCAATCAAGAATTGATTTGCAATTATTATATACATTATAGCATGAGATTATTCTGAAATAATTATGGTGAGTAAATGAATGTAAATTAATTCATACTGTCAGATATTTTATTTGAATAGGTGAATTTAACCTAATTTTTAAGTCGGATTATGATTTCGCAATGATTCGTTGATTAGTTATAGGTGATTATTATAATGGATATAATGATAATTATGAATATATGTTTTGGGTAGTCTGCCCTGTTTAATTTTCAGAGTCTTATGACTGTGATTTTATTATTAATATGTACATGTGCATATGTACGGTCAATCATACCTCGATTAATTGATAGGAAAAAAGTTGGGTATGTACTCATCGTATAAAACATATGATATTATAATTAAGCATTGTGGCTTACATATGGTCGATTTTATCAACAGACTAGGTGGTATTTTTTGGAAATGTGCTAGGATTGGTGAGAGAAAAAGTCCTTATGTGGCAATTGGCTGTCTATTTATGGCATTTAGTATATTATTTTGGACCTAAGGATGTAAATTGTGGATAAATGAATATAAAATTAATTCATTTTTACATTTTTAATTTTTTACATATTTTGTACATGGCTTACAAGGTAATGAATTTAATTAAACATCAACACATTACACTACGAAATAACATACTAATGTACCACAATATTAAAAAAAGTAATAAAAAAATTTGATATAAATTATGCGATCATTATCGATGTTTAATTGTTATTTTCACTCCACAAATGATTTTAATAGTTACAGTTGATAGATGTATATATATGTATATATATATATTTCTAATGTGCGAATCAACTTTTGTAGTAAATTTGATAAAGAATTTCTGAATCAACAAAAATATCATTTTTCAATTTATTCCAATTTATCATTATGGAAATTTATATAAGAATAATATCGAAATTTATAGTTAGCTGTGATCAGTTGATGGAAGTATGAATGATATTCTTAAAAATGATATTTTTGATGATTTCAAACTTAGATAGACTAATAAGCGTTGTAGAAAAATATTTTAACATAAAACATACCTACGTGAATTGAATTAAATTGATCTAACTATTTATTAACTACTAATACTGCACATATATCAAATATTTTCATCAAAATGTCAACACATCACGATTGCAAAGCTATGTAATTGTACAATTTGAGCACATTTTCTCTCCTTACATACTATCCTTAGAATATATATTTTTCTATAAACAATAACATTTTTTTTTGTGAATATAATTACTATATATTAATAAATTGAGCATCATTCATTAATATCAAAATTAATCAAGAGCATCAACTGACTTCTATCTATATATTACGCAATAAATATATTTGAAAGAATTATATTACTCATTATTAGGCCTTAATAATTCTTGAATCAATCAGATATGGTTTTTAAATAGACTGATATGTTCTTCGAGAAAGGAACAACTAGAGTTTGATTATCGTGCTATTTAAATAAGTAATATAAACAATTGACATAATTAGTTAACGATACTTAAACAATGACAGATAATAAAATATAAACAATGATTATTTTTCTATTATCTCGATTAAGTATTAATTTTTTTTTTTATTATTATTATTATTATTAATAGTAGTTATATTAGTACGAATATTTTTTTCAATATTACATATAGCAATGTTCAATTTATTAACGTTATCTCTGATAATTTATAAAAATAATATACCAACTAAAGTGTCACCTATCTTAATTAATTAAACATTTAATATAGCATTACACATATATACTACAGATATGATTTTATAGGGATATCGATTTATCGTTATGGTTTTTTTTTTATATTGATAGTCTTAATTATTTATATATCCTTACAGTATAATTATTAAACTAATTATTTGTCTGATATTTGATTATTATTAATATATATATTTATATATTTATATCGAAATTACGACTTGCTAAAATACTTGATTACTATCTTGGTAAAATTTTTACCTTTATTTATTGAAATTTGTGAAACAAAAAAAAAATCCATCAATTTTACAGTCTGAAAAATTTAATAACAAAGCTTTTTGAAATTTTAGATTAATTAAATTTTTTCATTCTGACAAAGATTCATTGAGGGCACTCACTAATTTCATTTAATTTAAATGCATTTTTGAGTAATCAAGCATAAAAAATATGGATTTAAAAACAATTAAAAATATATCATATATAAAAGAAGTATGTAGATTTTTTTTTTTACATTTTTATTCCAATAAAAATAATTTTTAATAATAAAATTTTATTTGATTATGAATGAAAAAAAATTCTACCAAGATTAATGTCGTAATATAAACTAACACTAAAAATATTATTGTTCAAGAAATTGTTTTCTCTCACAGACAGTTGAGAGCACCAGAAAAATATAATTATCTCAACTCAAATTGATCCTTTGATTCAAAATAGAATCAACTAACGAATGTTCTTTCAAATGTATATTTCGTATGTATTTAAATGTTTCTAATATAATGAGAGAGAAAAGTATACTGAGATGAAAATAAATTTTATGATAAAATTTGCTTTAGAGGAATACTAAAAAATGTTATATTAGTATATATACTCTTATGTTCTTTCCTCTGTCAAAATGGAAACGGTGTAAATGGGACTCGTCGAAGAGCAGCATTATTAAGTTAAACTTTGCTGGTAAATGGTGATGGTAAATAGAAAAGGAACTCACTTCATTCGTATTTTCAATAAAAAAGGGATATAGAGGAACATTTACTTTGGAGTATAAAATAAATTGAAATCAAAAGGAAGTAATGTAAATGAAAAGATATGCGAATGTGCATACAGTTAAATTCAAGTTAAAAAAGGTATTCGAACTATTGTTTACATGAAACATTTCATTATTACGTTTGAAGGCATTTTGATCTTTAGCTAAATGCAATCTTGGATCTATCGTTGTCGTTGGTATGTATTTTCTTCTCTCTGGAATAAATACTGATGTACTTTTCTGTATGGTAGGAGTACTTGCTTTACTGTATCCTTGCTTCGGGGTAGTCATCCGGATAGAATTTCCACTTCCACGATTCAATTTTTTCGGACTGACTGAAGTTACACGTGTTGGTTGTGTGACTATTTTCATTTCTGCGATCATATAAATCACTTTATTTATTTTATATATTTCCGATTTATATAACAATGAATTTATTTCTATTTACACTGAAAAGAAACTTTTCTCTTGATAAAAAGAAATTTTATCCTGTCAATAATTCTCAATAGAATTGAGAGATTTTATTTTTTAGATTTACGATCTTTAGTATCAGAAAGGAAAATGGTATTAAATGAAAATTAGAAAAGTACATTAATAGAAAGTATTACGGATATTAAATGTGAACTTCAAATAATGGATTATTTTTTTTTTTCTTTTTTATAAGATTATTAAAATTCCTTTTCAAACTTTGTATATTATTTGGATTTATAAATTGCAATTTCAATAATTTATTTGAAGATAAGTGATGGTATCTGTGGTGGTATCATCTTTAATAGTTTTTTTTTTTTTATTTTATTTCATAAAAGAAAGAAAAAATATGTTCATTGTTGAGAAAAACTCTTTTGCTAGAATTACAGAGAAAAATATTTTTGACAATCAAGAGATTATTCTTCTATAATAGCTATTAAAGAAGAAAAAGTATTATTTTTTTTTATTAAAACCAGAATGAGTAAATTTTTTATCAACCAATTCTACAGATAACTCATTTCTTAAAAGCTTTTAAAATAAATTTATCTTTTAAAAATTATCTGAAATTTTTTTTTAACATTTAAACAAAAGAAAAATAACTCAACACACAGATAGAATGATAATTTTACCGATTATTCGAACTGTTGCGTTAGCTTCACCCATACTTGATTTGGCAGAACATTGGTACAGACCAAAATCCTTTTCCTGAAGTTCTCTAATCTCCAGTTCAATCCTCGTTTTCCACTCTTCGTCCGGATTCTGCCGCTCGTAACTCTCAAATCTTCCGCTGCATTAGCATTCGAATTAGTCATAATAAATTACCGCTGACATTGCGTCCAACTTGCTATAGATATGAATTTATGTATCAAGATAATTTACGAGCATGCACGAATTTCAAAATTGATCACAACTACAGCGTAAAATGATCACAGATAAACGTACTCGCTACTTATTGACACTACTGTGTCGTTGCGTTTCCATAAGTTTATTGTTCTTGGGTAAGCTTCAATGTCACATGTCAGTTTTATATTGGTACCCAGTGGTGTACTCAATAGTTCATTATTCACTTTCACCGAGGGTGCAACTGGAAATAAACACATCATTTATTTTTATTTATTTATTTAATGAATTTATAATTTATTGCTCATTATTATAGTATCATTACAAAGAAAAAGAATTATGATAAATTTTGGATAATTATTTCAAGTGCATAATTCATAACTAAACTATGATAACACATGAATGATAGAAACTCATTAAATAACTTTCACTTATGTATACTCACAGTGAACTCTCAAATAAACTCGCTTACTAATTCCTGGGGGTACATCGTTTATGGCAATGCAAAAATAAGCTCCCATTTGCTTCCTGTCTACCTTGATAAATTCGAGTCGTTCACCAACTAATTCCTTTACTATAACAAATAGGAGAGAATTATACCTTAACCTTTTAGTTTCAGTAACGTTAGTAATCATACAATTAAACTTTGGCAATTAAAGTCTCTAGTATATAATGTTATTATTTGTTTAATTAACCAAATCTTATTTACTTGATTCATATTCAATTTAAAGCTGAAGAAACGATATTTGGATAAACTATTGAATGATTATTTATACCATCAATGAGTGAATAATTTTATATTTTTAAAATTTAATATTATTTTTATTTTATTACATTTTACTTTCATATCAACCTTCGAAAAAAAAATGAATTTCAAAATGTAATAAAATTTTCATAAAAACATGACATGGACATAACATTGAATTTGTGTAGGAATAAGGTTTTATATTACATACTGATTTATTAGGAAAAAAAAATATTTAAAGGATTTCAAAGGGATTATATATCGGTTTGAAAGATTTTTATGAAAATGTCTCAGTTGTAAAATTATTTTAATCCTCCATATCAATTTTTTAATTAATGATATTGGATGTTTAAATTCATCAATTTTATCAATTCATAAAAGGAATATTAATATCTAATTCTTTTTCAAAAAATTCACAAGGATATTTTTTATCAAACAGTATAGCATAAAAGAGATTTAAAAATGATAAATAACTTACCATGTTCAAAGTTATCACGATCTCGTTTCAGTATTGAGCCCTTCTCTTTCCTCCAAAAAATCTTAGGTTGTGGATGACCAGTTGCTTTACATTCTAGTGTTGCATTCTCCCCTTCTTTGACAACAACTTCACCCTGTGATGTTCCTGATGTCAGGATATCCGGACGAACTGCAGTGAGATTGAATTATCCAATACGTAGAATCAGTTTCAAAGCTATCAAATGTATGTGTCAACAACCCATTTAGTTTACTGAACATTTGGCACACTGTGTTCAATCGAGCGTAAGTCATCTTAATAACGATATAAGCTACATGTTCTCTGACCGCTTTTACACCAATATTATAGTGTGGTAATTACTTGATTAGGTGTTATAATAATTAATAATATCATCGTCTGTGCACACGTGCTTATTATTTCATCAAGAATAACTAATCCTTAATAGAAAACTGAATTTAAAAAAATACAAACTGTCGATTTAAATACTTGATTGAGTAAAAAAAAAAAAACCAGTTTGAAATAGAATTAAAATGAAAATATTTGAAATTAATAACAATTTTGTTTACATTTCATCTTGCTTTTCACTTTTTTCAATTGAAAACAAATCAATTTATTTGAATTCAAATGAAACAGAGGTTGAAATTTGTTTAAAAATTTATTTGATGAGAAAAAGTAATTTTTTTCAACTGAATATTCATTTCAAATCAACAAGTGAAGCATATAGTATTTTATATAGAATTTGTTTTAGTTTATTTACATTGTGATTAGCTATTATTTTATTACTCAAGACAATGAAAACAATTTCAATTCAAAAACACATTCAAATTAATTACCAATTAATCAATAACTTGAATACTTTTTTATAAAACTAATGCTAACTTATAATGAAATAATAATTCTCTTTATGGAATACAGCATGCATAAAATGGTAAAATAATAGTCTAGTGGGTAAATAATTCAAGACAATGATGATGGAAAAAATAGCTAGCTGTCATATACGGCTGGTTTGTTGTGTCTAAAGACAATATTATATATGTGTGCTAATTGCAATACGTTGCATGGTTAACATTCTGTGTTGAGCTTATTCACTATAGCTTGATTTACACATAGTTTGTCACAAGGAATGTGTGATACTAATTAAGCATACCTACCCAAGACATCAACACATCCCAGTTGGTTCAACATTGGCTTTGTATTAACTTGACACATATAACAACCGCGGTCAGATTCTTTAACATCTCGTATGTGAAGCTTCCAAGATGTTTCTTCTTCATTCCTTCCAGGTGTTTGATTTGATTTCAGTTTAATATTCTCAACAGTAATAGAGAATTTCTGTGGATTGTTCAAAGATCTCATTCCCATTGAAAGAATTGTTTGATCAATCATTCGTAGCCATGCCATCTGTCAACAAAAGCCATTTAATCATTTCACTTTGGATCTTTCATCTCTGTCAAAATTATGGAAGGAAATGAATCTTTATAATGAAAGAGAAATACTGAAATTTATTGAGCATAGGTTTACTTAGTTTGAAATATATTTTTACTTGATAATACTCATTTATTAACTTACTAATTATTCAGTTACTTATTTGGAGATATTTTTCTAGCATGAAAAGCTAAAATAATGTTGATCAAATAAAATTAAGTGAAAAAAGTATAAACGTTTCAAAACAAAATAAATATAATATGCAAATAGCAGATAAAAGTATAACTTGAATAGTGTAGCCTGTAGTCTCATATAAACTTTGGATTAAATAAACGTCTGGTACTATAATCTGTTTTCTGCTCCTTTTCTCAACCCCTTAACCATGAATCGACCTTCCGTTCACACTTAGGCGTTTCGAGTAAAACTTGATTTGCATCCGGGCAGACTATTACCGTAAGTTTGCAATGCATATTTGCGCTAGTATACCTAAGGCTAGCTATCATGCAATTTAGGTCGATCGCCAAACTCAATTCCTAGACGAAATTGCTGTGTCCCAGCTGTCATGTTATTTCTACTTTGATTGATGTAGTGTCCGTGAAAAGATTGACATTCTATCGAGGACTTTTTATTTACGTTGTGTGAAAGAAAAACTTTTTGATTTACCGTAGCAATCACTAAATTGATAGCAATTCACGCACACCAACCGTTTATTAACGGATATAATTGCAAGCATTAATTTTACGAGGTGGATAATTAGAACCATTGATAATCCCTTCTAGTATTTCGCCAACAATTGTCTGAATCCCATGGGAATTGTGTAGGCCTTGACCATCGTTTATTTGGATCCATTTGATCAATGTTTAAATACATGTGTATACCAACACTGTTTTAACAGAGTTACCAAGTACAAGCGGAAATTAAATCCTCTTTGATCATATTGCAAAGACTTGATTTCAACATTTTAAAATAGTTATTGTTGATGTTACATATTTGATCTCTGATTTTGTGTGGCTTGTAGGTTTAACCTAAACATCTGATTGATATCAAATAATCAGCTTCAGTATTAATAAACCCTTTTTTCATTTCTATTGGGTTGAAAAATATTTATTCAGTTGGTATTTCCAGTAAAAATCAGCTTTGTTGTCAATAATCCTTCATGTGTTGGTCCAACTATTGTTCAAAGATTGTATAAATTCAAATGAATTGTTTTTAGGGGAAATCCTGTGAAAATGTAGTTTAATTCAGTAGGCTATTCAGAAGCAATTAATATATGTATTACTTGAAGTGGGTTTAGAGTAATCAATTTCATTAGGCTATTGTAGCAAGTCAGAGCAATATTTGATCTATGAACTAATCAGCTTGAATATATATATATGAAAATTAATTTCCACCAGTAATTATTAGTAATTGAAACACTTGAAACAATAATTTGATCTTGTAACAATGAATTTGATTAAATTATTATGATAATTATGTAAGTAACTAAGTATTCTAAAAATAGAATAAAGTTAAATTAATTCAATGATAAGCTTTTTTTGGAGAAAATAAACGTCAAGATGGACCTTTGATGTTAATTTTTGCTTTATATTTTAGGGATAATTATAGTCTATCTAGAGAGGCATTGAATAATCTTACGTTAGTCTGTGTTATTTAAGCCTCAGTTCATCAACTGATAATCATCTGAAGTCTGTTAAATATGTTATCTACCACACAAGGTTTGCCACACGTTTATTGCTTCAATCCTTCTTCTTGTTTCGTTTTTTCTACCCAACAATTTGGTAGCTGAGAAGCTAGCGTAATACTGCAGTCAATCCTTGATGAGGCTCTGGATGATTACCTGCAGTGTTTCTACACCTTTTTATATATTTAGCAGCAAAAATGGACTTTACTTTGTTAGATGAAATCTTTTTTTTTAAATTCTATTAAATTAGTGACCTTTTTTTTTCTTTATTTCGTTTTTATTATTGATTTGTCAATTATTATTTCATTAAAATGATTTTCATTGTATTTTATGGATGATAAACTAATTTGATTATCAAAGTAATCAAAGTTTTAATGAATTGAAAATGGAAGAATTAAAATATTATATGATATTATGAAATTTAATTTTAGTTGATAAATAGTAAAATTTCTTTTCTAAACATTTAAAAATATCAAATATTTACTTCAGAGTTATTGAATAATAGCAGAAGTTCTAGTAGAAACAGTAGTATATTGAATTCTGGGAAAAGAAGATTTGGATTGAATTATTTACAAATAACAAAAGCTCATGTCTTCTTATCGTTTAAAAAGTTTAGGAAGACTTTCAAAGTTAATTGTATCAATTTATTTATTTTTAAAAGCAAGATGTTTCAATATCTTGGTCTATTGTGTATTTTATTCTAAACAATGTTGTTCAAGTTGAAGATGTTATTTATAATAAAACAAAATAGATAGTTTGAGAAATACAGATTTTGCTATGGCTGTAGGTAATGATACAGCAGCAAAAATAATTCACTGAGTGTTTTCAAGCAGTTGCTGGAACAGCAGCACTATTCTGAAGGAGATGAAATAAAGTAGTTTGCAAACAAATATATTGTCAATATTATCATTGAATGTTGAAACTTGAGGAGACAGAGTGTATGTATAGAATGGAATCAATACGATTCCGGAGATGAGTTTAGGATGGAAAATCGTGGGTGGTCTTTGGTTGAAGCGTTTTCTATTCTCAGTGTTGTTTGTGTCTTCCTTCTTAAGGTAGTATGTACTGAGAAACGAAAGTATCCAAGAGAAGGAACAGGATACAAAGCTATTGCTTTTCGTTTGCTGACGTATTTATATGTATTTTGTATTTTCAAACTATTACGTGCGTCAAGAGTAGCTCAAGATGACGGAAATCGGTAACGAGCATACGTAAATATACGTTTGAAGAGGATTTCGATCAAGTAAAATGTATAGTTTGACAACTGAGCCTTCTCTCAATGCTACACTCAAACGTATAGGCCGACAGCTAACACGTGTTATCAAGCGAAAATCCATGAGCTTTTTCCCAGATTTACTTCTCTTTCAGATGGATAAAGGATAACTAAATCGCTCTTTCTTTCGAGAACCAAACAAAAGGTCTTGACGAACGAAGGATTTTTGACGTTGAGGAAATTTCTTCTTTCTTCTTATTCCCTGCATCCTCACTAGCTAGCCTAGCTAGCTATATTATATATCAAGAGAAAAACGTTTGTGACAAGTATATGACGACGAGACAGACTCATTACTTATTCCCAAAGTCTCGGAAGAAAAAAGGATAAAAGAAGGGGAGTTGATACTTGAGTGTCTCGGAAATGCCTTTGCAGAGTTGCAATAACCCCAGTCCAATGGTCGCACGCTTTATCGAGAACAATAAGGCAGATATCGGTATGCTCACAGCGTTTTCCAATAACACCACTGAAAGTATTTCTCAACGATATCCGAATGAAAGATACATATTTTTGATAGATGAGAAGCTTCTCATTCACTGGAAAATTGTAGACGAATGTCGTGCAATCATTATTCCCTCTTTTTTCCACCATATACTTCGTCTGGTGGCTCTCTTTGCTACCTTTGATGTGTCAAGGAAAAGAGCATTTTTCGTTTTCACATCTCCAAATCGGAAATAATCTAATGTGAGTGACTTAGGAATAGAACAAATTCTATTTGTAAAAGAAAGTTATTCTTCCTTGGTAAAATGTAACATTGCTATGGCACTGGTGTACAATAGTTGTGTAATTTTACGTTAATGCTTGTTGTAATAAGTTAGAGATGGTGTTCTATTTAGCTTCCATTCGAATACAATTCAAGAATTATTTTATATCTTTTCTAAAGTGTTTTTACAACTGGTGACAATTTAGGAAAAACTGCTTTCCTAAACATTGTCTTCTTTTTTTTTAACAAAGCTTATTGGATTTTTCTTTTATTGTTCATAAATAACTTTGAATAAATAATACTAGTGTCGAGGTAAAATAATGTTATTTGCTTTTTTTATTTCATTGGAGCTTATTGGTTTCTTAGCAGTTTAATCAAACAATTTTACAAGTAATATAACTGGAAATTGTTTGGACACTTGAGAGTTTATTGATTAAATAATTGAATTGTTTCTCAAATTCTTTAGTAGATTGGTGATAAAAATATTTGTGGTATATGGTAAATGATAAATACAAATAAATAGTAACATGGTGAATATTGATATTCCTAATCGATGAATACATTTTTCAATTAGAATGATTGGAAATTGATGAATGTATTATATAGATTACCTAGATGCTGAGTTGATCATCATGAACATTCAATTACTAACAAAGTGAAATTATTTTTAAACTAATGGAAATCGTTAGAAAGATAAATAAATCAGAATGATATTCAAGAGAACTAAAATGAATAAAAAATTACCTGGGGCTGAAAATCAGTTCTATAAAGCAATCAAAAAAATGGACTAAGGTATTTATTTCTTTGTCAGCAGGATAGGACATAAAACATACAAACTCGTGTGTGATTTTATTTGAATAAAATATAGCCATAAAAATCCCGTGGAGGAAAATCCATCAACTTTTTTAATTTCACTTCTACGATGTGCACGAGCTGATTTAAAAATATGATTACGGACCATATCCAAGACCTGGTGTGTGGAATATATGTACACATCCACATGGTATGTATAAATCTGAAGGTTATTACACTTTATATAGCGACCCTTAGAGAACAAAGTTATAGGACAGAAGTGAGTATATAGATTTGCAGTGTGAGATGAAATACGCGGGATTTAGATTCATGGACTGGTCTAGGTACTCCCGAAGGATAGATTTGACAGCTGACACACATTATCCTCAATAACGTAGGTTAGGTGAATTCCCAGGTGATTGCCATCAGTAATATTTTGAAACTCTCTTGTCCACGATTCCTACATTTACGTTAAAAGATTGCTCTTTGTGGATCATTCTCTATCCTCCAGGTTCCTCTTCCTTTTCCAATCCATTGTAATCATGGAAACAATCACTCTTCTCTCTTACTCTTATGTTCTTTCCTTCTACTGGTATTTGCCTCATCCCTTTACCTCCATCTCCACCACCCCATTCTCGCCCTTTCTTTCTGGCTCCTAGTATTCAAGTACCCAAGCAAGAGTGAACGAACAAATATCCATCTCTGTCTAACTAACAAACCACGCCAGCTACTGGCTCTTTCACTCAGCTTTGCAGCAATCACCGATTTGTCTGAATAAGCCCCGGGCAAGTATATGCTCGCGCTTACCCCAGGGAAACACTTGGGCTCCACCACCGTCCAGCTCACCCACCAAAACTCCTCTCTCGTTCGGTGATGCTTAATGGGGATGAGCACCAATGTTGGATCATCATGTGCGGGCACATATCAAGAGAGAAAAGAGAAACCCAAATGCTTGCTTTCTGCTGCATAGTGGCAAGTGCTAAAGGAAGTTGGCTCTAGTTTTTAAATGTAACTTGCTCACTCTGAACTTTTTCATTTGGCTTTAGGTTCATGCTACCAACTCGTGCAGCTTTTTATTCATTGCTTGAATGAATCGTTTGTATAGTGTAGAACACTGTGGTCGTCCTCTGTTGACTACTTTTATTCAACTCGATAATTGCGACTAAATAGTTTGTCTTTTGTTTCTGTCAAATCAAAGAATAATTGAAATACTTTTTTGTGTACAACAGTCATGATTGCAGAAATAATCATATAGAGAAAAGAACTATTTAAATTAATGCTAATAAATGTAATTTCTATTCTCTACTAAAAGAAACAAATTATTTAAAACAACTTTTTTGTAGAGAAAAATTCCAGGCTATTTTTATCTCCATGAGAAGAGTTAAAATAAGTGTGGCATTATTTGAAGTACAAGTTACATCAATCCTCGAAGCTTTTACATGAGTCCATCTGAAAGTTGCAATTCTCATTGTAATTTTCTGAGAATTTATATGAAATGTACGTGAATTGGTTTAATGCTTTAGAAAAAATATAACTTATATTTGAATAATATTTACTCAATTTTTTTAAAATAACATTTTATATATATTTGCTGTTAAATGTTAATATAATTTTATTTTTAATCAAATTAAAGGATTTATAACCAAAGTAATTCGACCAATATAAAATTATAAAATATTTATTTTGATTACCAGCAATAACATCAAATAAAATAAACACATTACTACTAATTTTATTTAAATAAAAATTAAAAATTGACTAAAAAAATCAAATATAACATTTAAAATTATTTCTAATTCTTCTATTATCTGATTTTACATTATTTTATTTTCCTTCTGTCAGTTATTCGTAGAGATAGGAAGTTACACTGAGTGAAAAGCTTTCTATTTAGACTGATATATAATTTCAAAGCATTTGTTATGCTTCCAGTAGAGTTGCTAAGTGAAAATTCAATAATTTTACATTTAACTGATTTTTTGTTATTTTTTTTTTTCTACTCCATATATCTTTTTCTCTTTTTTTTTAATCAAAACCTTCAGCAAATTTCATAGTGGATAAATGATCATATTACATTGTATCGGTAGGATAAATTGTTTGTAGGCATACATGCTTAAATCATATTAACTCAATCACGTTAAACCCCTAACGGCTATTAGAGACGTCATTTTTCCACTCCAAGGGAATCAGTATCATCAATAATACCATTTTTTATTAATTCATTTTATTATATTACTGAATTACTCTGTTACATTTCTCCTGAATAATCAACTTCAATTAATCAAATATTATTTTATAAATAAATAAATGTTAACATAAAATTAATAATTAATAATTAAAGATCGAAGTGTGTATTGTAAACTCTGAAGTATTTGATAAAAATATTAAAAAGTTTGTAGTTATGTTAATTAATCGCGAATATTTTTCCAATACTCTTCATAATATGCCTGAATAATAAAACAAAAATGTTTCAAACTGTTCTTTAGCGTTCGCTTACAAACTTTTTATGATAACGAGTTTCTATAGAATTTTTTTTTTTTTAAGGAAATCACAAAATGCATCAAATGAGTTCACATTCAAGTCCCAACGACCGTCCGCTTCCGTGATATAAATTTTTTTGAAACTCACGAGAAAATTTATTTGTGATGGACTTTAGATGATTACAAAATGGAAGAAAAAGTGTTGAATTAGATTTCAAGAGGTTAGTGACTTTTAAAATCAAATGATATTGTTTTTTTGGAGAATATTTAGTATCACAGACAAGTCATGAATATATTTCGAGGAGGCTGGGTTCATTTTGTATATGGTTAATTTTTTTTTTAGAAAAAAAAAAACTCCGAAGGGGATATGGGTCTTTGTATTTTTTTTTTACCGTCAAAAATCCGATCGCTTTGTTTCATTTTTTGTAAACTCGTGTGCAGAAAAAAATAATTATTCATTCATGCATAATCAAACAACTATCGGTACATAGCCATCTGCATATCATTAGAGAAAAATCGAGTGAAACTTGTGGCCATTGGTATTTTAAAAAGATACTGAATAAACTTATCGTACATGAGCCTCATTATTTTAAAGCTTTTAATGCATAAAAATGAAAAATGTAAACGTGGATTTTTTTTTAAGGTCAAGAAGAGATGAATTATGAATTATAACTCTTAACTTTTAATTCTTAAAAGGAATTAAAAAGTTTTTTTTATGGCTAATCAATTAATCTTTTATTAGCATTTTACATTACATTATTAAAAAAAAAAAAATTGAAAGGTCTTTGTTATTTTCTTTCATAAGATCTTTCCGGTTTTCTAAAAATAATATAAAAATTTGAAAGTTTCCAAAAGCTTGAAATGATTCTACTTGAAATTCAATTTCCGAACAAACATCTTCAATAGTGAAAAATGTGAAGTGTCGGAACAAAACCAGATAATTCCACTTAAAACAATTTTTGATGGATTGTTTGAAGCCATTGAGTTTTTTTTTTGTTTTTAAACAACTACATCACTATTCAATTAAAAAATCATGGTATAAATGAAGTATTTAAGTATTAGAATTTTTAAAAAATTGGTATCTAAGGATATAATGTTGAATAAGACATTAAATGAAGCTTCCAATGTAAGTTCTATTTCTTGCCTCATGAAATTAATTATTAAAAACATCTTGAAATTTTCAATTTGAAGTATTTCAAGCTTTCTGAGCATTTGGTATATTATTCATTTAAATAAAATGCAAATTGGGCATTTCTCAAATTCAAATTCACCTTCTGTTAGATTGCTAGCAAGTATTAATACAAAACATACAGTTAATATATTTAGTATGTTGACCAACTAGACGTGAGGAAGAACGAACACGATACACGATGAGAATATTCTGACTATAAATTTACGAGTTACCACAATTATGTGGGTAGAGGATCAAAAATATTCGAAGCTTCCCGTCAGACTTTGAAAAATTATATTTAACATTAAAAACAATATTATCGACCACTATATCTATGTTTAACAATAAACATAAAACTTTATTTTACTCGTAAATTAAAGTTTAGAAACTCTAGTGAAATATTATGTCATGATATATTTAATTTTGCTTTTTATTACGTTAATTAATATCATCATTTTGGAACTTGAAAATCAAATGCTTTCGCGATTAATTTACTTTTCAAATTGAAGATTACGATGATGATGATGATGATGATGATGATGGGAAGCTGTTCTGGATGAAACTATTTGTGATGTCTTATGAAGCATCAATTCGTGAGCATCATGATATTTATTCTCATTGAAATGAGAAATTTGTTCTGTAAAAAGGCAACATGATCGTTATTTGCTTTTACAGAGCAATGCTTCCATCCCTGTGATGTCAATATCAAGATCTTTTTCAAAAACGGAGATTGCGTATTACCTTTGATGGCGACACCGATTTCTAAAAAGCGTATATACTGTGCTGTTGAAAATGTGAAAAGCTTGCTTCAAAAGCATTTCGTTTTGATGATTCAAAATGGATAACGATAAGTACTTCTTCTTTTTTTTCACCATTCTTTCTTATTCGTGCTCGTTTTAGCTTTTTCTACAACTTTTTATCGATTTTCAGTATCTGTACATTTATTTTTGAATAACTCAAATCTCGATATAAAAGTATGTTTCTCATATGAAAGAAAGAAAAAGTTTCTTCGGTATCTAGTGAATTGTAATCAAAGAAATATTACCATCAATCACTGACAATCACTGGGAAGCAGTGGATATTCACTGATTCATTTTTAGAGAGTTACCAAACCTGTAAAGAATCTTGAGATTTCCAAAGTCAATCTCAAAAGTCATAATTAGCGAGCAAAAATCTATAAAACTTGCTTAATTTATCTGATCTACCTTTGTTTAAAAACATTTCTTTATTTAAAACTGTTCTTACGATTGGACTAAGATAAAATGGTGAAGTTTGGTAAAAAATGGCTGGATAAAAATTAAGATAAATCTTTTCCACTTAAAAGAAATGAATTAGAAATAATAAAGTGGCATTTAATTGAAAGTAGATGGATTCTTGTATTGCCAATTGAATGCAATAAAATTTATGAGGTTGAAAAAATGTAGGTAATTTTATAATTTCCTTTAATTTATTCAACTTTTTAAATTACTCTAATATATAATTCATCGTTAAAAAGCATTTATTGAAATAAACTAATGCATAAATAATTTTTTTCATTTAGAATAAATGTCAAAAAGTTATTCATTTAGATTTTCTTTTTTACTATGAGGTAGTAAGTAAATCCTGAGTCATAATATTTTAGAGTCTACAATGCAATTAGAAGATAAAAAATTTTTCTAGTCATTTAAAATTTCATTAAAAACAATTTCTCACCTTGTAATTGCCCAATCCTCTAATTGTGCATGAAAGTACAGCTTCTCGTCCACTGTGCACTGTCACGTTCCCAATAAGTGTTGCGAAACTGGGGGCATCTGAGGACGAGAGTACAATTTAATTTCATTAGTAACTTGTAAACTCATTATTCATGAAAATTCACATAAATTAACCGTACAAGTAAATCATACACATAAATTTTAATAGAAACTCTTACAACAGAAAAAAGAGTACGTGCATCTTAATTCTACCTAGTAGAAGTAAAACTTCTTTCATAGCCTTTGTAAATCTTAATTTATAATACATAATTTTTTTCTCATTCCTTCTTGGATTTTTTTTTTAGATTATGTTATACATTTTTCGATCCTGTTCCATCACGAAATGCTATGAAATAACACTAAACGTGACACAATCTTGGAATTAAGCTCAGAAGGCTGCCCAAGAAGTTTTGCTTCAATAAAGAAAAATAATAATGCATACTTTTAAAAAGTTCTATTATTTACATTTAAAGTAAACTAGTTTATTATTTCTTGAAATGAGTGACATAGTTCAACGTGCTGGAATGGAATTCACTATTCAGGAACGCAGTAATAACAAAACTGAATTTCTTACAGCAAATAAAAAAGAGCTTGAGTTGTCGTGGAAATGTAATGAGATGTCTCGTTTGTTCCTATATTACTTGGAATGCAAAGAGTTTTTTGCTGTTTAGGTATAAAACAAGTAAATGTGATTAAATATGTTATGTTAAATCGCCAATTATAACTTGGAGTTGAAATTTTTTCAAGAGAGGAAAAATTATTTTGCTATTTAAAAATTCAATTTTGTCATAAAATTTTATACTTCAGTGTAAATTGGATGTTGAAACACTTTATATATAAAACTGAAAATTTATTTTCATTTACATAGATTTTCATATCACAGAAAATAAATCCTTGCATTTCTTGATTAAAAAAATAACTGTATTATTTAATCTTCATTTTTAACTTACAATAAGGCGAGACAATGAGAACCACTATTCAACATTTAATAAGGAGTATTCTCAACAAAATGTTATTTTTATTTAAAAAATGAAACCAGCTTTCTTGCTGTAGCAATTAGTTTTTAATTACTTTTCTATTCAATCTGAATCTCAATTGATATTTGTGCTTAGCAAGCATTATGTTTCTTTAGACGAAATAATAAAGAAAATCCTGAAGTAAACAAGGAATTAAAATGAAAGGAAATAAGGATGATTATTTTACTACAGACTTCATTGGGATTGTAATTGGATGAATGTAATGTTTAATAAATAAGAGTTAAAGTACAACTTTATATTCTTTTTTTTTTTTTTAATAATTAATTGACATGAATGTGTAGACGGTTGGAGAGAAATGGTCCAGTGGGATGAATATTTCAGCATGAATTTTCATTTTATTTACCCATATGGGAACTAGATAAATAATCTCACCGTAAAAAATGAACTTATAGAGGAATTTATATCATATAAATAGAATTTATTAATTTTTATTGAACCGTTTATTCGAGAATATGCATAAACAATGAAAGGATTTTAATGAATAATTGGATTTTATTGAGCTTTATGAGATTATGAAAAATATAGAATATAAATATCAATAAGTAATCATCAATAAAAAAATTATCACCAGCTATAAGTAAAATTTTTAGCTATTCATTTTTGTAAAAATTCATTCCAATGCATTTTTTCAATAAAATATTCCACGGTGGAGTAATAAATAAATAGTATTGGTAGACAAAATGATAAGAGTCAATGAATCAATTACTAAATATCGAATAAATTCCTGTATCAGCTCGAAGAAATTCGATTCGAGAGGTCTTTGTATTCCCTAAGGCAACTTGAACCTGTAGGTGAACTAGGTAAATATTGTCATAAATAACCAGTGTCATTGCAATTGTGTTATAAAAATCCTGATGCTCTAGATTATGTCAAAAGTGTGTCGTGCTCCTTGCACTTTTATATATTGATGTATCCTCTCAGGTGGTATATGAAGTCTCCAACCGAGCACAGCTTGGGATATTATGGTAAGATATTCGCACTGACACAGACCAAAAAGAAGTGGAATTTTCAGCTTTCCTATAGCCAAAATGTAATACGAAGAAAACGTGAAGTAAAATAACCAGGTTGCCAAAGCGAAGAGCGTCTGGTAAATCGAGGGTATAGAAGCTCGTCTCTACAACTACTAGGGTTCCTTCACTACTTGGATATATATCTATATAAGTTTTATTTTATGGCTAAATTATTCCTAGAGAAAAATAATTCAATCTCGGTTGCTTCTACCAGCCACAGTGGCGATGTCACCACACGAAAATACTACCCTGGTTTATATTTTAAATTGGTTTAAATGAAAATATCGTTATATTTTATTAAACTGTTGACATAAAACTATTTTTTGAATATAAATATTTTTTTTTATCAATCTTTAGTGATTTTTGAATTAAATAACGCTTCAGATTTACAATTAATATTTTATTAAAATAAATGTTGATTTATTTCCATATACTTTTCTTAAATTTATCAATATTTATAAAGGATATAGTTCAATAAGAATTTTTATTTAATTTTTTAAATAAAAAAAAATATTGTAATCAAAAATATAATTATGAACAACAAAAACTAGCTATAGAGAAAATTCTCTTTTCATAAAAAGTTTTGTTTTCTAAACCTAAAAGCACTCGTAAAGTTTCAAAGTTATTTCACGAACATCGATGAGTTTATATAATAAAAAAAAAAATTATATAAAATCAATGTAACTTTATTTATAAAGTCCATTTATTAATTCCAGTTAATTATAGCCAGCTACTTCAGCAATAGCGTTGATAAAAAAAATCAATTTTCATTTAATAAGAAAGAACTAAAATAACTATGTTCTTCAAGATAGATAAAAGAAAAAAAAATAATAATTGAATAAAAATCAACATGATGTAGACAAAATAATTCAAATGTAATAAAAATATATTTAAATATTTTGAGGTTAAATCATGAGATTTAATTGGTTGTTTTTAGCATTAAGTATGTAATTTTAAATGAAGATTAGGCAAGTTTTCTGAAAAATTATAGCTCCTACTTCGTGGAGATTGCATTCATGAACCTCCAGAAGGAGACTTGAGTTAATACACACACTACTGCACAGATCTCACTGGAATTACACACTCTTGTACCATCATTTGAAGATTATTACTGCATGTAAAATGCATTTCGTATCGCGTACCACCTGTGTACCGTCATGTACTGCAGTTCAAAGTCCCATTGCTAAAACTTGTCATACCTGTGATGGATGTGAATATGCATTATTCTATTAAAAAGTATGATTATTGCACTTTTTATGTATTCCATGTCATAATATGATGCTACGTCGTATAAAAATACATAGCACAACTAGTAAAGTTTGTTCAAATTTTCTCTGTTATTTCTTTCTTCCTCATTTATTCACTTTTTCTGTCATTTTATGTTCATCGAAGCAGTTGGTAACGAGTATTCTTTCTCTACAAAAAAAAAATATCTCTTCTTTGTGAAAAACAGGAAAATTAGCTTGTTTATTGACCGTTTATTTCGAAAGAATAGCATAGGAAAGAATATAAAGATCTGGGTTATCATCTAGTGTTTTTAGAGTTAATAAAGTGCTGACCAGAAATCAAAACACAGTTTGGTCTAAAAGTGTTGGAATATTTTCTCAACAGCATTTAGAGGTTAATAAAAGTGTTCAAAAATGATGATTTATTATTTAAAAGAGCTTTCAAAAGACATTAAACTCTGAAACCAACATTTATTCCATTATTGGATTTTATCATTCAACTTAACTTCATCCTTTCATTTAATTTTCACTTCAACTTTGACTTCAATTTATCTGTTTAATTTAATTATCAACTGTAGTTTGTAATTTTATCGTGGCTTGGAAATTATAGCTTTTTTAGAATTAATGTGAGGTGAATTTGTCTGAAGAAAAGAACGTTTCAATTCTAGATCAATAGCATCGATTCTTCTTAGTATATGGAGATAAATCTTCTGGCCTCAAGCAAAAGATTTTTCATCATAGAATTTTTCCACTTTTATTTCACAAGTATTTTCGAAAAACATCAATATTTTTCAAATTCTTTTTATAAAAAAATATAAAAATATTCAATAAATAAACACACTCCAGTTAAAGTTGCCCTTCAAACCTAACCTGTATTGTTTAAAAAAAATATTTATATTAAAATTATAAAGTATCACACTTTTTATTCTAAAATATACAGTTATTTTTAAATTAAAAAAATGTAGAGCAAGAAAAAATTATCCAATGTCTTTAAACTACACTTATGTCATAATTTATATCATCTTCCAGCTCACTATTACCCAGCAGAATCCTCAATTTCCCAGTTTTCAACAGTTGTGTTCTCTAGCTACACTGACTTGCTACAAGAGAACATTTTTTTTAATCTCCAGTATTTTATTATTACTCACTATATCTTGGATAATTACTTAAAACATTGTCTGATTAAAACTTAACCATCATTTATTACTTAACCACCTGATCAAAGTTTCACTGTTGTTTCAATTTCATTCTTACTGCAAGGGGTAAATTCAATTAAGAAAAATTGTTTATTCCACCCAGCAAATGAAGCAATAAAGAAAAAATTCTGTCATATTGTGGATATGACTTTACGTTAGATATTCAGCTTGTTGTCGAAGTCAGTGACCACAAGGGTATATACCTACAGAACGACATTTTGCATTTGGAATACCAAAATCTCCCTTTATTCTCAGAGCTTTATTTACATAGTTATTGTAGAATTATTCTACCTCTAAATGATTCTCATCTAACTAGGCTACGAAACAATAGGGAGCCCACCTCGTTTTCCATTTGATTTATATGTTGAGTATAGCTCTCAACATTTTTATAAATATTATTATTCAAATGATTATTCAAATCATCTAGAAACATGTGTATTAATAGATAATATTTTTTTTATTTAATATAATAATGATTATGAATATTCAATTTTGAGCTCAATTTATCCTCATTAATTGCCAAATTTTGTTAAATTAATCGATAAAATATAAACAATTAAATAATTTAGATGTAAAAATGGTGGTAAGCGCCGGATTGACCGACAGTGCCTTACCAATCATGTGTATTCCGTCCTTGTCTAGGGGAGTGCTAAACATCTCTCCTTTCATACTACACAAGAGATCATGACTGCTGCGCTCTTATATAAGCGTTGAATAGCAATAACACCACATGCGAGAAAACACTTTATTGGAAATTATTCATTCAAATATGCAAATATAATTATTATTTCACCATATTATATTATAAATAGGTATAGTTCAATTTTATATCATATTTAAATGATATTTAAATAAACAAAAAATGAAATATCACTAAATTTTTCTGAGAATAATTTTCTATATTTGATTTTGTCTACATGATTTTCAATACCCATTGACCTATTATTTTTTTTTTGAATTGTTTTTTGATGTATAAAGCAGAAATAACTGACGTGAATTTCTACATATGTGTATCTATTTAAATGTATCTATCTAAATATTGATACAGTGTAAGAGTAAAACAGGTACTCGATGACCGAATGACGCTCAAATAGTTGTATTCTATACACGAATAAAAACAACTCGAATAGTTTCAAGTTGTTTGACTGAATGCCTCGTACTGGCATTTTATCATTCCACATATTCAACTAAAAATTCAAATTTTTTCAGCCAGAAAGAAACTTCTGAATGGTAAAAATCATTTCGATGAAAAATTTTTGACTAAATAATTTTTTTTTATCTTCTATTCAAATATTCAATTCAATAAAAAGTATTTAACTCGAGGGAGGATAAAAATATACAAAATGATGTTTGTTTGATTGAAACTTGCTGACAAGGAAATTGATTGTTGGAAGATTTTTCTACGAGGTGTAGAGAGTCATTTCTATTTTTACTAATTTTAATTAAAACATAATCCGCTTACTAGGTATGATATATTGCTGGTAATCTCATTTTTTAAGCGTAATATTCCGAGATTTAAAAGCCCTTATTTTTATATTCGTAAAATAAATAAGGCTATTAAAATAATCCCTCTTTATTTTTGTGTGCTTTATGCTTATAGCAAATCTTGTTAATATGATGCTGTCGATATTTCAAATTTTTATGAAATTGTCTTTGAACAAAAAAACAATGAATGATCTAGACGTTGATTCAATGAATGGATTATTGTTTTAATATGGAAATGTATGCAGCAAGAGTTCAAAATTTATAAATAAATATTGCTAGAGGTAATAAATGTGTGAAGTATTGATTTCATCATCATCATCATCATGACGCATAAAAAAAAATAATCCCATCACTAGACTGAAATAATTTATTTTTCATCCAGGTATCAGTCTGTTGATGAAAATAAGTTAACTCTTTTTTCATTATAAAAAGTCTAACGAAATATTATAGCTCGAGGAGTGATTTTTAATAAAATCTAGTATGTTTATTTAAGGAAAAATATTTTATACTCTCAAACGACTTCTCAATAATCGTCATACAATCATTTTATCTCGAGTTATAAACACTGAGAGTCATAAGGGAGTTTTTTGCTTTGAAAGCTTATAACTTGGTGAAAAATGATCGGCAAAGAATTTTTCAGAACAGCATATTGAAGGGGAATGAACTACCTGTCAAATTCTTCATTCAGATTTTATGAAAATAAAAAATTGAGAAATGGAATTTTTGTCTAATGTTTTTATAGAATAGCTGAAGTTAATAAAAAAAAAATCACAGGCAATTTTTTTATCTAGAGAAAATGAGCTTAAAAATGCATCTAGGATTATCGGAATGCGATTATTTGTGGCAAAAATAGAACTGTTTAAAAATCCTCACAGTTAAGTTGTTTTTTTAATTCTTCCATTACTCATCTACTTTAAATTCTCATTGACTATTATTTTTTCAATAGATTTCATTACCAACATCAAGTAATGAAATGAATAAATTTTTTGTCTAACAAGGAAGTTGAGAAACAAATTGTATTTGATGATTGACTGTTTCCACAAACCACATAAGCCACATAAAAGCTGTGAATTACGATTTCACTTATGCTAAAATTCACATTCAAGTGATGTATTAACAAAAATCGCTAGCTATGCATCTAGTGGGTAAGTATATGAGTATTATTGAAAATTTGGGTCAAGGGAATAGGAAATAAAAAAAAAAGTTATTATCGCTTATGGCAAATCTCGCGCGGCAACTTGAAATTCTTTACAGTCGAATCGACATGGAAAAACTTTTCTCCGCAAGGGATGTGAATGTATAACAGCCGAGTTTGTCTCACCTTCTCTCACCCTCTTTTCCTCTTTCCAAAAGTCGCAAGCTGTTACCTTCAACGCTGCAATAATACCGTTTTCACGAGCCAACGATTTCGAACTTTAATTAATCGGATTCTCTAGATGGTGGTGGTTCAGGTTCGATTGGAAAATTATTAAGATTTTCACTAAGGAGTTGGAATCATGCACACATCAATTCATTTAAGCATCCATTATGTCACCGTCATTTGTTTATTTTTTTATTCCTTATATCAGCATCTTAACGAGGAATGCAAGAAATGCATGACAAATTGATTAGGAATTATTAATTACACTGAAAAAAATTTATAGTTGGTAAAATTTTTTATTTAGGGTTAGATGTAACGTGCGATTAACAAATAAATTTATTGTTTATCATTACAATTATTATTTATTGTTAGCAACGTCACATCAAACGATGGAAGATATTGGGTTAACGACATTTCATAAAAATGTTAATTATTATTATAAAAAATATTCGCAGTCGAAATTTGATAATTTTATGGGTCCAATTTCTACACAATACTGAAAAGACAGTATTTAAAATAGTTGCGAAAACTATTTTTCTAGAATAACTATTTTAAATATCGTCAATCAACTATCTAGATAATTTCTATAGCTATTTAATGGGATAGTTAATGGAAGGGAATGACATTATTCCGACAACTATGAATTTTTTTCAGTGTAATTATTAAGAATGAAAGCAACACTGCATAATTTTTTTTTCAATTTCTAGTCTGATTGACAAAGTCAGAATAAATATTTCACTGGATATTTTATCAGACCAAAAATTATCAAGTTCTATATTTTTTGATGCATACAGAGAAAAGTAAATACCTCAATAAAGCATTTCATTGGAAGTTTTTAATTAAAAGTTATTCATGGATTTTTTTTTTTGTCTATCAATAAGTCCAACATTTTTGGGTGATGGTTTATAAAAAATATTTATCGTTAAACATCAGAAAAACAAAGTTTGACGATATTTTTTTTTTTTTGTTTCATAATTAAAAATTTAGAAATACTTCTCTCGTAGTGAGTAATAATTTCTGACAAACTAAATCCTTTTTATTTCCATCAATATTTAATTAATAAAATATTTTATTGCTCGTCATGAAACATTATAACTAGTAGAAGTTATGAATTACATTTTCAGTGAAATTATTAATGATAAAATGTTTTTGCACTGACCTACAATTTAGGATGCATGAATCTGACTATGACGATTATCTTAAAGATTAAATCATGTAATAAATATCAAGAGCAAGGGTCCAATTAAATCGTCAATTTCTTACGAATGAGAGATTCTGAATTTTTTTGCCAGCTGGAAAAATACATTTGCATAGTTCATAGAAGAGGTGTCAGATGAAAAACATATGGATTTGGAAGTACCTGGCATTTAAGAGTAGAAGTAAGCGTTAAACTTGTAAGTGGCAAAATAAAGTTGGTCGCCATGGCTGTGACAGTTTAATTAATATCTTTCATCTTCAAGAGAAAAAAAAAACTTGGTGAACTTGCAACGCGCCACAACCACTTCAACTGTACTGGAGAGAGTGGCAAGGTAGTACTCTTCAATGCCAGTATAACTTTCTGCGTTTCCTTTACTTTTCAATGCTTGATGCTTTGCGGATGAACCCCAACAGCTTACCGTTTTGGCTAATGGATATTTCGTCTTATAAGGAGATAACTAGTAAAGTAAAGGGGGCTAGTTGGCTATCTTTGTCTTTGCTTTCAAAGGCCATGGCTCTTCACCTGGCAATTTCCCAGGGTCGTTAATACCCAGACTATTTCCTCTTTGCTCCAACCATTCATTCTTGTCCATCGGACTGCCTTCCTTTCACGCGTTGTAGAAAGTTACTTTCATTTGCACGTAATTTATTCAGTTATCCAAGTTATGAAATCGAAAAAATTATAATGAAATGATTAAATGCTTTGAGTCGTAAGTATTAGTTTCAATAAAAATAAATCGAGTTAGGGAATCATTTATTATCCTATTATTTTTATCATGAAAGAAAACTTTAATGTTCTATTTTTAGGTCAACATATCTATATATGCATTTTATAAAAAGTTACTTTTATTTGCAATTAATTCATCTATTGAAAATTTTGAAATCATGGATTCAAACAAATTACGAGAAAACTTTGAACCTTACTAATTCATTGTTTGTAAAACTTTTTTCATACTCGCTGTTGAAAAATTATTTCAATCGAAAGAACATCTGATTCAATGGTCCTAAAGAAAATATATAATAGATAAAATTACCAAGTTAAGTTTTAAATTAAGAAAACTTTTGAATTGTTTATAATTAATAGTGAAATGAAGAAATTTTATTGATAATTAAATTCTATCATGAAAAATTGATGATTAAGTGAAATTTTTGAATTTTTTATAAACAAAATGGCTTTTACAAGATGTAGAAAAAAAATGTGATATAAATTTTTGTAATTAAATAAACTTTTTCAGGCTCAGGTCATTTTTTCATTATTGAGCAAAAGTAGTGACTAGAATTTCCTGAAATAAAAAAACTTCTGAAGGATTTTATTTCCGTTATTTACGACTCCTTTTTTTCCAACGAAAGGTTTATATTTTTACACCGAGGAAATTGTTTCCTCCAATTTTCAAAATTATCTTTTTTAAATCTAATTTTTTTAAAACCCCCTAAGAAAAAATCTTGTGAAAAAAAATAAACAATTACATAAAAAAGCTTTAATTAAAAAAGAAAAATTCCCTTATCAAATATCTCGAATATTTTTGGCGACAAAGTGACCATAATTCTCATCTTCTCTCTTTTCTCTTCCACTTTGAATTAAAATTCATTCGTCGTAAAATGATATAGTTTCCATTCGGCCATAATATATTCAATTATCTAGAGTTTCGAAAATGAAAAAAAAAAAAAAAATAAAATAACCGGAAATAAAATAAAAAAATAAAGTAAAGTAAATATCGCGATGCATTTAACAGCTTTGATGAATCTATCGATAGCAGAAAATTCTATTCCAAGCTATCCTATTAAATGGCTATTAACTTCGATGAAAGTGTTCGATAAGCCTCTTTGGATTTCAACGGATAAATATAGTATTTTAATTTACGAGCGTGTGTATTAAAAATCGGCAAAATGTATATCGTATTTTTTTCATGTTGCGTTTTGTGTAAGGCTAAAGAATAAAAGAAAGAGTTGTATTCATGAGTTACCTATTAAAGCTCAATACTATGAATCACTAGAATTTACGTTCGAGCACACTAAATAGCTCGGAAACATATGGTTAAACTGAATACATGAACGTAAATTGTAAAATCGATTAGTTAGAAACTACAACTAAAGCATCGACAAGCAGATCTACAAAGTAATTGAGAAATGCGTACTATTGTCAAGACTCGTTATAATGTTAAACTCCGATGAGAAATTCTGTTGATGTACCACGTCACTTCTAATTGCTGCTCCAGCATTGCTACTGTATTCTTCAAGAAGTACGTAGCACAGTAATAGCCATGCCACCTTCATTCTGAAAAATAAACAATATCATTTAAATAAGCCACCTACTATCTTACTTTTGTTATTGTTTGTGCTTCATTTATTATACCACTCAACTACAAATACTCTTTTGACTTTAATAGAATTGTATGTTAATTGATTAATTATTCAACATCAACACTTAGCTCTCCACTTCCTACTTGAATTTGCTCTTACATTTATTTGATACTCTCGTGATTATTTTTGGCAGAGGGATTATATTACACTGAAATTCGAGTTGGAATATCTGTTGAGTTTTGAATAAAGTTTGCCAAAGACTAGAGGGACAATCGGACCCAAGAGAGTCATAAATATCACCAAAATTTTTAATCGAAAACTTCCTCACTTTTTCTGTTGATATCATTTTTATGTAGTTCTTTTGAATTATTTTATTTTTATTAAAATATGGATTTTAATCATTATTATTATTTCACTTGATATTTAATAAATTAATGATGCTCTTTTTTGTAATAGGATTTTTGGAGTTAATTTTTTTTCAACTTATTTTCATCCGTTGGTAGATTTTCTGGTAATTTAAATGTTTTCATAAAATATCAGTTAATGTAAAACAAGATTTGACAGATTAATTTAATTATGAATATTATAAAAATGAACTCAGTCGAATTTTCATAGACTTAAAAAGTTCAAATCATTAATATTAAATTATCATTTAATTATTTATTTACTTTTAGAAGCTCTAGAATTAATAGCTCTTTAATGTAATGATTAAAAATTTAAATCTTCTTAAAAAAATATATTTAGAATGAAGATAGATTTTTAAATAAGTTAACAAACTTTTATTATTAAAATTACTTGCTACAAATAATTCTAAATACATTGTTAGTATTAAAGATTTTCACTCTAACAATGTCTTTCAGAAAACTGTTTCCCATTCTTTGGCAAAGTAAACTTATTGTTTAATTTTATTCCATCTATTTTTTTTTTGCTCCTTTCATATTCTGTGTTGTTAGTTTAAATAATAAATTAATTAAAAAAATTACTTTCATCAAATATATCAAAAATACGATGAAATAACTTTAAATCATGGATTAATTTAATATAGTAATTGAAAATATATTAGATAATTTTTTATTATGATATTTATTCAACAAATACTGTATCAATATTGAAAATATTCAACCAGCATTTACAATAAATTGAATGCAAATTTATATCACCAATATTAATTTATGACACGAAATAAATATTATCCGGTATTCGCACTATATGGGAAACTCATAAACGTTATGTTTGAAATCCTTTGACCAAATTATTCATTAAAAATATTCAAAAACACCCTATTATCCTTCATATAGATATAAATAATTTATTTTTAACTGACTTACTACAAAGAATAAAATTAATAATTATTACAAAGCGTCAAAATAATCGAACCTTTTATCAATATTTTTGTTATCAATTGTTTCTCCCTCATTATTAAATTTTAAGGATGGTTTAATTAAATATAAAATTATTCAAATAAAAATAAAACATGTGAAAAATTATCTGAAGAATAATTTATCATTTTTACAGTTGAGAAAAAGATGTTCAGACTTGATTTGAAAATTTTTCAACTAAAAACTTTTAACAAGGAAATATAAATATCGCTGCATACTTTAATTAAATAAAAATTCTCGAGTTTTTGAATTTCTTCATTAAGCGCATCTGAAGTTTCAAACAGTTTTTTATTAAGTAGGAGCAAAGACATCGTTGAAAATTAAATTCTAGTAAACCCAACAGTCTTTATCTAAAACTCTAAATTGAGGTTTAATTACCTTACTAATTACTTATCAATAAATTTTATCTTAAAATTTATTACTCCTTTCACCAGATAGCAAACTTCTTTTAAACAAACAAAAGAATATTATTTATCAACAATTTTCAAGTAATAAATTAATTAAAAAATAAACGATGAAATATTAACATGAATTAATTTATCTTGCTATTTATCTCTGTAACAAACTCCTTAACTAACAGATCTGTATACTCTTCCGAAATACAAACAGGAAATAAAAGCATTCACTCCAATTAATTATTATGTTTTATTGCCTATGCATATCATGAGTATACAAATTCATCGTTTACCCAACCACCACCAAACTTTATCCTCGGAGCTCGGAGAACTTGCATAAGTAAATATTTCTTAAGTATCATACTAACGAGATAATTAACCAATACGATGTATGATCAGACAACCATTTTCATTTAGTCTTCGATATCAATTCCGCATGAAAGTTTCCAATAATAAAATTTTTTCTTTCGCGAGATAAAAAAAAAACCTGGTTAAATCCATTGAGACCGGTAATCGTTATATAGGAATATAAGAGAGCAGGAATGGAGTTGAGAAAAAAGAGAAGCCAAGGGATTTTATCGGCTCTGCCGATTTTATTCGCCTGACTTCACGATATACATATTAGGAAAAACTACCCGGCCTGCCGCGTTCCGATAAGTACTGAAGGAACTGGTGAAGCAAGAATTCTCCCGGTACTTTTTGTGTTATATATAAACGTGATATATCACGTCTATTCTCAAATCACTGAATCAATTATATTACACTTCAGATTATCATTTCTTTTATCAAACAATAATAATTATTTTATTTCAATTTGTTTAAACAAAAAAATAGATTAATGATTTATTCAACAAATCGTTGGTAATAATGTCCGTCAATTTACCTTAAAAAAAAGGTGTTGCATTATAGTTGACTATCACAAATCATTCGAATCATATGTTGATTATTTTTGATCATACAACGCGCATTAATCACTGGGAGATAATGTAAAGACTTGTCTCATAACGATAGACGCATCCCGGGGCGTTGAAACGCGTGTACTGACGTGTTAGCTCGACGCGATCTCGAGCATTGGGACGTTGTTCTGTTAAGTAAGTGTACAGCGCATGTCCCAGCATTTTTGTATGGTTATTGGGATGATTATGAAGGTTTTGTTAATACTTAGTAGTTGCTTATTATGTGGGTATTAAGTAATTACCCTAGGATGGATTTATTAAATGTGAAAAATATTTTTTTTTGATACTTAGGATTGATAAAGTCATCTGTAGTTCATATGTCAATAACATATGACAGCACTGGAATTGCAAAGCATTCGTTCAGTTCAAAATACATTACATCAGGCTGTCAACAGCTGGTGCTATATTGACATGCTTTTTATGCATTCGCAATTAGTTAAATATACAGATATACAAGACTGGACTTATTATTGGCCAAGTATATACTCAAATGTGCTGTAAATTACTCGAGCTTTATGTCTATCCTGTCTGTTTTGTTGTATTTTATCGATAAAATAAGTTGTCAATGGCTTCGTGGTTTCTTTTTGGAAAGACAAAAAAGTTTATAAAGGACAAAAGATAAAAGCGAGGTTCTTGAATGCAATAAATATTTAATTTAAGAATTTCAATGAAGTACTTTGTTAAATTGAAAGGAATACATCATCTTTGAGACAAAGTGGGTTTATTAAAATTTACTTTAATGAATTTTTTTAATTTCAATTAGTAATGACGATGAATTTTTTATAAAATAATGTATAATTATTTTTTGAAGAGTTAGAAAAGAAAAAATTCATTCTATTTAATAGTATCGTTTGATTTCTTTTCAAGTAACTTTGTTATTTAATTCTATTAAGCAACGCTTACATGAGATTCCTTTGATTAAACTCCTTTTGAAAGGGCAAAGTTAATGAAAAGGTATGGAATGTTTCTTATTACCTTTGTTAGTGGAAATAATAGTCTAAATAAAGTGGAATGAAGGATTGTTAATTTGTTTTCGAATTAATAGATATTAATTTATTAAGGATTTGTCTGAAAGTTCATTGTTTATATTCTGCATTAATGACACGAGTCAATTTGGTCACTTGTAACACTTTGTAAACTTTACTTAACCCCTGCTCTTTACATATGACAGCCTTCATTATGAGATAATCAGTTCTGATGAGTAGTTTACACCAAAAGTGGATCTAATAATTATATACAAATAAATCTCTATTAAGGTATTTTGATGGAGATTGATTTTTTCTTAAGATTTTTTTTAATAAATCAGAATGAAAGATTATTAGAAAATAAAACGTGTGTTTTAATTTAAAAAACCAACTATAATTGATTACTTCTTTTTTATATTAAATAACATTTAATATTTATATTATTTCTTTTCATTTATTTCATTTATTATTATTCTTTAATGTTTTTTGTTTAAAATTCTTTTTTATTTATAAATATTTAATATTTCCGCAGTTCAAGAAAAATAAGATATCCTACTGATTTAATTGCAATTATTTTTAGGTTTATTTATTTTCATATTAAAAGAAATTTAAGACAGATTTTTCACTTAATTTACATAGAATGTAGATCAATGACTTCAGATATCAAAGTAGATGACAAAAAAATTTTTATAGAGTTATAGAAGATAAATTTTTGTGGAAGAATGAAGTAAATTTATCGATTTTTTAAACAATAAAAATTTAACACAGCTATCATGTTTTTTATTAGAGCCCCTATACCTATAAAATCATTTTTAATTGGAGTATCTGAATTTTTTGAACAACCTAACAAAGCTCATCAAACTAATGAATGATATATTTCTCAATACAACAAAGAACACATCAATTTTTTTATTTATAATAAAACTTTACAGTCATGCAATCAATTGATTCTGTCAGTTTTAATAGTTAATTAAATTTTAATCAAAGAAATACAAATATTTATTAACAGATAAAAAGTAAAAAAAAAAAATTAATTTCTCAACTCATTGTCGATGTGATGGTTATTATACCGTGGAAGCCAATGTAAATAGTTGAGTTTTACTTTCTTCTTTCCCAATATATCGATGATAGCAGAATTTAAAGCTGTGCAATATCTGGCTGAAATTTTTTTTATTCACGCTGTTACATTATCGCCATTCTATACCAAGTTTATATGATGAAAAGGAATTCTATTATATGAAAAAATTCAAATCAAATAGATATAAAAAAAAAAAAAGTGTATATTATAATTTATATAATTTAAATCCGATATTTTTTTCTGAAACCATCAGATGAATATCGATAATATACCATAATTCAAATTCAGCAGCCTGAGTAACCTACATCGTTACTGGCTTTATTTTATAACATTTTCAAAACTTTTCCTATAGTTGCAACGACTTCTTTGTCCATAAATATTCATCAATTGTGAACAGGTAGAAGAGTTCAGTACACAATAAAGACATGGATTGAGCTTTCCTACTTTCTAGATATAAAAATATTTGATTTTTTTATATTTCATTTTTATACTTGAGATATCTCGGAGACGTGATAAATAACACCGTGATATGAATTTTGATTTTTTTTCTTTTTTTTTTTTCAAAATATTAAACCTTTCTTGGGTTTATTAATTACATTAACAAGAATAGATTATATCTTATTGGTATTTTTTAAATTTTCAAGTTATATTCAGTGATAGGATTGGCACTGGCAATCAGTGAATATTCACTGATTCGTTTAAGAGAGTACATTAAAGTTAAAACATTCCTTTATATCGTGGTTCAGGTTTTGAATATTAATTAAAAAAAACAATTCCTCTTCATTAGACTATTAATTTAAAAAGTAATCACTTGTTTGTTGTAATAAAAAAAAAAATTAATTAAAAAAGCTATCTAGAATTAATTATAAAGATGGTTATTGATGAAAACAAGCTGCTTTGGATGATTAAAAAATTATTTTCAAGAACGATAAATTCTCTGGATATTTTAAAATCAGAGAAAATCGTTGGAGTTGAATATTTGATGATCGATGTAAAATTTAAGAAGTTTGGTAATGGAAATGTGGATAATTCTGGGATTAATTAATGTTCTGAAAATGGTTTCGTCATCAGTAAATAATATATTAGCTCAATATCAATGTATATAGTTTTATACTACATCATAATTATTCATTTCTCTTACGAACCCCAAATGCATCAAAGCTTTGGAAATGGTAGTAATAATAAATTCAACTGAAGGATCCTCAATTTGCAATAGTAAAACTCATCACAAGTTAAAAGCTTCAAGGAGTTTTTTACGGGGGAATTTTTTTTAAAAAATTATTCACATATTTTTTGAGTAAACTACTGAGTTTCAAGTACACTTTAACTTTGGACCTAGTTCTAAATTTTAAGGTCAAATTTTGTTTTTATTATTTTTACTGATATATTTTTATTGAACAGATAAATATAGTTAAGTAAAAAGGATTTTTATTTCTATTATCCTATGAATTTTTTTCTCTCATCAAGTTGTGACCTAAATAAAATAAATAACTAGACGTGTAAAATTAGTTGGAAAAATAATAATGAATAAATCATGAAAATTAGGAAAACAAATTAAAAGTTTGGAGTAATTCTGCAAAATTTTATCCAAGATTTCTTCTAAAAGTTTCGTAGCTCAGTATTGCATTAATTGCTCTTTAATTAATCTAGATAACATTGAAGGGGGAATAAAAAACTCTTACAAATTTACATTTAACATAAAAGTGGTGAAATTTTTTTTTAAACCACGTTTTTGTGGTGTGATTCGGTCATTAGTTACATTTAACACATCTTTAATAATGATTAGAAAAATCTTTAATTGGGTTTGAAAAAAAAAAATAACACTGACAGCTGATGAAGGAACACGAGTCCAAGTGGCAAACAGTCGTGACTTCAATAATAAAAATACAAATTATTATAGACACAACTTTTTATTTGATGTGACTTTTATCTACAGAATAAAAGAAAAAAATATGTAGGTACATGTATAATTGCAATTAAAATGGTATCATCTTTCTCGACGTCTCTTTGACTTTCTTTTTCTCTACTTCCTGACGTAGAGTTTTCAACTACGTTCAAATTTGATCATAAAAAGCAGACAAGAGTGATGAGATAATTTATTGACATTTATTTAGAAAATTTTAACATGTAAATTTTTGCTGTGCCATTTTATGTTGAATTTTTTGAATAAGATTTAAAAATATTGCAAGTTAGCAAAAAAATTATTTTCATTCAATCTTTTACAACATATACCGGATGACCTGAGGGATAAAATGAAATGAAATTTTTCTTGATCTTGGCATATTTTTTTTTAATACTCAAGCAGGGACTGCTAAATTAATCTTATCATTTAGTCATGGCCCAGTCATTTCCCATTACTTATTTAATTATATTAAATAATCATTAAAGTTATATCAAAGTAAGAATTTTTTTCTCTACTTACATTTCTACCCGACTGGAAGAAACATTTAGAAAAGACATCTTTTGGATTCAAATAAAAAGATATACAATTCCTATTTGATATTTTTAAAATTGTCTTACAGACAACTTAACTTACTTCTGTAACTAGAAATTGTGGCTCAACGGTGGCGGCACCTAAAACGACATCTAAAAGAAAGCAAAAACATCCTTTAATCATTTCTGACAACCTTGAGGCATTTTTTTTAGACATCATTCAATTTAACAATTAATTAAAATCGATATTTTTTTGATAAATTTTAAAAAACTAATTGTTAACTTCCAAAAAGTATCATATGAACCCAGGCAAAAATTTTTTTATCTAGTTGAGTATTGTTATATTTTTTTGATGTGATTTTTTATAAAAATTATATCTGAGACATCGAAAAATGTCTTGTAAGTTATTCGATTGTAAAGAAGTCAAGTTTTATACTTCTCATCTTGAACATTGTCTACAATAAAAAAAGACTATTTTTCGTCAGCATTATTTCGATAACAACTCAATCAATAATAATAAAAATAAATTTAACAACAAATATATCAGGTGGCTATAAACTCTTTTAAAATATTCTACTCAAATACCCG